AGTCAGACTTGGACTTAACAATTTGTATTATAAAGAGAACAAGGCCAGTTTTTAAACTGTTCCAGTTTATTCATTGGTCGATGCTGTGGATGCTCAACTGAATGGTGATTAAATATTTATTTTTGTCAATAATTATATACCTTTTGTAAATGATACAAAATCATACTAACTTGGAGCATCTTATACTAATGGGATCTAGTTCACATTTCAAGCATCTCTGACAGCAATGAAGGATTCATTTTAAAAATTGATTTTTGATAGCTTTGGGTTTTCTATAATGATATTGCAATCTAAATTATGTAATGCAATATATAAATTATTCACGGTACTGTCAGCATTGCTTAATGCATATTAAGTTTATTTATAAAACCTGTCTGTGGGCTCAATATATTAAATAAGCAACCTGTCTTAGAGGGAATATGCAGTATTGACAAGTCACATGATATATAGGGTTCAATAAAATGAAAGTAAGTTAGGTCATTCTTAGTTTAATACATTACCAAAACCTGTGTGCACTTTGATAGCCATTTTGTTTGACTGCAAAACTGAACATTCTAAAATAATGGGTATTCAACCAATTAAAATTGATCTCGATCCTCATGTAGAGATCAGCAAATCAAAAATTGGGCTTAAACTGAAGTTGGGTTAACATGGGTCAGTTACTTCTCAGGGCTGATATTACTCAAGCTTGCAATCCATTGCTCTTTGCATGCAGATTTTAAATGCACTGAGTATGTTCAACATGTCAACATCTAAGGGGGGTGGGGAACAAACTCAAAGAGAGTCTTGTACAGTAATTCAAACAAGATGGTGTAACTGACAGCTCTGGCGCAGTCCTGATTTAACCATGGCGTTGTCATATGTGGGTTGTACATGAACATTTATATCCATGAAAAAAAACATATCACAAGGGCAAGATGGTTCCACATCTGGGTGGCCAGAGCAAGAACAAGATATTATTATTACTATTTATTTATTAGATTTGTTAACCACCCTTCATCACAAGATCTTAGGGCAATTCACAGGATAAAAACACAAGGTAAAAAAAATTAGTTAACAACAAAACAATTGCCCCCCTCTCACAAACACATTTAAATGGCTGTAGAATATTACCCAGCCTTATAAAACCAACAAATACAAGTATAAAGACAAAATACAAATTACCATATAACACTTAATAACAAGTTGAAATGGCTCACCCTCCAAAAAACAACACCCACCTGCCCTTTTACCAGTGAGAAGAGCTCTGCTAGAGGGTGTTTTGCTGGTGCAGTGCTGGCTAAGAAGAAAGACACTATCCAGCCATTCAAGTAAGCTCTGTGCTGTGCTTGAATTCCATGGCCTGTGTTTTGAGTATACAAGTACACTGGTGTTGTTGTACAGCTGAAGAGGCAGAGTGGTTAATGAGAAGATATATGTGAAAGTAGAGATGGACTGTGCTCTGGGGAGGAAGAGGAATTTTAATTTAACCTGCAAGGCTTCCTCGACTTTAAAAGAAAATCCTCCTCTGTAGCAATGGCTTGACTGGGTTTCCAACAGAGGACTGACATGATGAACGACTTCAGTGCAATACATGACAGTTTTAGTGTACATTATCTGCAGTCCATCATGGAATAATGTGTCACATTAGCCGCTGGAGCCTTCCTGCTTTGATTTAGGTGACTTCATTTGTAGTTAGTTGACTATTTTGAACTACTTTGGTCAAATGGCTCCAGGATTGCTCTGTGACGGGGCTTAGCTTGTTGCAGAGGCAGAACAAAGCCTTTTCTTCACAGGGGCACAGGTGCTCCAGGGGTGCAATTTTCCTGCACTTACTGAAAATCATAATAAAAGGCAAAGAAGAGCTAAATTGTAAGAGCAAAGGCAGACAAACCTCTGTGATTACACATGTAAAAAAGTGACACTGTTCTAACATTAGCATTATTAACGAAGATTGGCTTGGGGATGTACAGGAAATGCAAAAGCACGATGCCAAAGTTATATTTATTGTGTATATGTGTGAAATACAGTGGAACTTTGGTTTTTGAGCATCTCAGAAGCCAAACATTTTGGAACCCGAACACCGAAAAGCCAGAAGTAATTGCTTCCGTTTTCGAACGTGCCCCAGAAATTGAACGGCTTCCACTGTGTGTTTTTCCATTTTCTCAATGGAAATTGCCAGCAGCCCTTTGCACCTCAGTTGTTGAACGTTTCGGAAGTCAAACAGTCTTTGACAACCGAGGTTCCGCTGTATAGATGTTCTATCCAAATTTTGGATGCTGGAGAATTCTGGGAGAAACAGAAATGGGAGTGAAAATTGCAGACATTCACTTATTCATCGTACGTCCAGAATGGATATTAATCTAGTGAATATGATCAGTATTCATTGTTTATTTATTTATGCCATGTTTTATAAAATGTATACACTGCTTGTTTGTTAAAAAACCTCAAAGCCCCTTCCACAAATGATATGTAATTGATTTCATTCCCAGCACCCTGAAATTTGCATTGCATTTTCTTGGCATTGAAATTAATGGGGTGGAATAACGTAATGACAATGTAACATGTGTAGTGTAGGTTGCTTTGTCACAGCAGACAAATACTGTAATGTAGTTTTTGGGCGGAAGAGTAAACTGCAGCGAAATGGAAACATTGCTGCATGCAATACAGGGCAGAATGGAAAATGATACTTACATCCAAGGTCTTAATACTCATTAGCTTTCACACGAAGCATGCACATAAATAATCCCCATAGTACCCACAGAGGAATGGATTCCATAATATTTCCAAAAGCAATGGATTGATATCGTCATAAAGCATTTATGAAGAGGAAAAGCTGGTTTAATAAAGCACGTTTACCAGGAGAGTTATACTATGGTTAAGTAGCATATACATTGATTGAAACGATATACAGTGGTGCCCCGCAAGACGAATGCCTCGCAAGACGAAAAACTCGCTAGACGAAAGGGTTTTGCGTTTTTTGAGCTGCTTCGCAAGACGAATTTCCATATGGGCTTGCTTCGCAAGACGAAAAACGAAAACGTCTTGCAAGTTTGTTTCCTTTTTCTTAACACCGTTAATACAGTTGCGACTTGACTTCGAGGAGCAACTCATAGAACGCGGTGTGGTAGCCTTTTTGAGGTTTTTGAAGACTTTGGTGATTTTTGAAGCTTTTCCAAAACTTCTTTTAAACTTTTAAAACTTTTTGGGGGGTTTTTGGATTTTGGGTTGGGGTGTTTGGAATTCAAGGACTTGGTGTTGGGGAGGGGTTTGCAAGAATCTGGAAGCTTGTGTGTTTTTTTCTGCATTTTTATGATTTTCTGTGACCATTGGGCCACTCTGCTGTTTTTTAAAAAATTCTGGATTTGAATTTCTGTGTGGTGGGTGGCTGGGGAACAGTTGAGGAGGGGTTCTTCAGCAAGAAGCAAAGAGTGGAAGAGGAACCTTCTTCAAGTTGTCCCCCAGAGTCTTAGAAAATGTACTGTACACTTTGTTGATTTTTAAATGTTTTTCTGTCATGTTTAGAAACTTAATTTATTGTTCCTTCAATTTTTGAAATGCTCTTTACAGTATGTGTGACTTTAAAGAGCACTTAATAAACTCTTGTTGTACCAAATTTGGCTTTGTTTGGACTTTTTTTGACCATAGGAACGCATTAATTGAATTTCAATGCATTCCTATGGGATTCCGTGCTTCGCAAGACGAAAAATTCGCTAGACGAAAAAACTCACGGAACGAATTAATTTCGTCTTGCGAGGCACCACTGTAAGAATAAAATAATTTCAGCACTGGATCAAAATGAGATCACAATCCAACAAAAGGTGCACAGTTGTGATCCTATACACCAGGAGTGGAGAACCTCTGATATTTCAGATGTTCTTCAAGTCTAGTTCTCACCATCCCTGACCATCGACCATGATGGGTGGGGCTGATAATGTCAGTGTCTATTGATTTCAATGTCTTAAGCATGGCAAATCCTTCATTGGCTATAGATCCTAATTAATATATTAAGGTGTTAATAAGACATGCTAAATTATAAAAAAATACTAATGTAAAGAGATTAATTTTATTGTATTGAACTGTAGGTTATTGACTGATACAAAAATGCAAATCTATGTATTTAAGTACAAACTGCGTCACAAACTTCTTTCATCACAGCATAATCCTATGAAGTCAGTCCATTGAATTCAATAGGAGCTACTCCCAGGTAAGTATGCAGTTGTCAAAATGCATTTTTGCTTATAACATACCTTTCAGAGGTGGATGGTATCTTCAAGTCTTTAAAAAAAAAGCAATGAACAATATGTACAAAACTCACATATCATGAGTACAATCAGCTCCACTTCTTGAGGAAATGTTAGAATGTTCAACATCCATGTTCTCAACAAGTAAATAACACATTCTTTGGCTACATTATGACCAGATTATATCTATTAGTTACTGCTGTGCACCATGTAAATCTCCAGATTCCCCTGGGAGATGAGAAAATCATTTCAGACTTCAATAACTAACAATCAGTTATTGCTCTGGGCAATAATAAAGCTGAATGCAATTACCTAAAGTGAAGTTAGCAGGGTAACAAATGAAATACAGATTTCTCTCTCTCTCTCGCTCTCTTAAAATAAATGTAGCATCTCCTCATCACACAATACCGCAGTGTACTACTGGCTTTTTAAAATGCATTGCCTGAGCACTCTTTGAGGTTTGAAATATATGTGATTAAAACTTACCGAAAGTTACTTTTTATGATATCACTTGCATGATTAACACAGGGGTATGAAAGGCTATGGGCTATAAAACTGCAACAGTAAAAACATTCATTCTAGGAATATAGACATCTTTAAAGGCTAAGCATTTGGCCTATAGCATCGTCTCCTATGTATAAAGGCAACACACACACACACACACACAAATTGGAAGAGAGTGGAGGGATCTGGTCAGGATCCAAAGGTTCATACAATGATTTCCCCACAAAATGAAGGCATTTTGGGGTACTTTGTTTTTCAAATAGTAACTCTGCCATGCCCTATGGCAAGCCACTTTTGGAAATAAGAAGAGTTTCTGTCATGCAGTTTGCAATATCACAAGATTCTCCCTTCCTAAGAGTGAATATATACACCTACCAGGCATGTGTATGATTGCTGATTTAAACAACATATTATAAGGCATTTCTTTAAAACAGAAAAGAAAAAGAAAGCACTATTATTGCGCACATGCATTTTTCTCCTCACACTCCTAATTAAGAACTTTCACATTTCAGACTGACCAACAGAGCAATATTCTGTCTACACATGATTTTTTAATATGAGAGTCAGAAAATGTGAGTTGTTGCACCACCTTTTTCCCCTGGCAGGGCTCTTCGCTTTAAACAGCCACATAACAGGCAGACAGGGAAAAGCTTCAACTGTGGAATTCCCGAATGTCATGAAGTTGTTTAATACAAAACCCATGGCAGGCGGGAGGAGGGGCTGCCAACCCTGTATGTGCGTAGTAGATGTTTGGATACTAGGGGTTTTATGGTCCGCATTAATATACTCCGGTATACCAGGAGAAAAATGCATGTGCACAAAAATACTATTTCTTTTTCTTTTTTCAGTCGAGAAGTACATGGGATGACCTTGGGCAGATAAGTCTCTCTCAGCCTAACCTATACTGTTTGCTGTGAGACAAAAAACCCACTGCTCTAAACCTCCTCGGAAGACGAGTTTGATGTTAATTTATAGTAATGGAGCACATTTCTGCCACAAATGTTTTCCAATCCAGCTAGACAATCAATGGGCACTTCCAGATGGTGGCTTATAATGGTTAACAGGTCATTGAGATATTGCAAATGGGTTAAGTTTTCTAACACTGGATTTTCCCAAGAAAGTGTAAATCTGGATTAAACTGGAAGGGGGGAATACAGGCTGGCATACTGATGAAAATTATGTTGTGTGGACAGGTCAAAAACTTCAATGTGTGAGGAACACTGGTCACATGATAAATAACCACCTAGAAGCACCCTAACGCTCTTAGCCATGCAGACAGGGAGGCAAAGTCTCTTTTGATAATGTTTGGGGAATGAAGAGATAAGCCCTTCCTTCCCATGTGCTGCTTTCCCGGTAAGAAACAGACACTCCTGCACTTATAATTATTTAAGGGAAAGCAGATACATAGCTGCATCCTACACAAGGAAGCAAACGTCTAGTTTAACCCTAATTGTAGACTTTCATTGGTTGCATCCCAGTCTTCTGGAATCAGCTCTGGCCAAACCTTTGCTTCAGAATCTTTCCACTGATATTGCAAGGCTTTGAATCCAGCTGTAAAACACAATTCTGTCAGTACTGGCATGAAGAAAGAAGAAGAAGAAAATAAATTAAATGCTTCTTCCAGTGACACAAGTCTCATGAAGAATTAACTAGGATAAGCACTTATTCTATCTGGTGCACTGACAATCTGAACAATGCAGACAAAAATAATAATTAAAACATAGCTTCATGCTGAGATGAAACTTTCAAGAGTCTCAACTGTGTTGAGCTTATGATTTTTCTGTTTTTGTATTTGTGAGCATAATTATGTCCCCGAGGCAGCAGGAGCTAGTGCTTGTCATCTCCCATTTCCCCCTCCAAAGGAAGATTAATTTCTTTACATAGGAATTCAAAAGTTGACGCCAGAGCAATAATAATAAATGTAAACAAAACCTTTTATTTTTTTATATTCTAAAACGCATAATTTAATGGCACAGTCACATAAATAATGAAAACACTACATATACTTTAGCCAATTAAGGGTAAAGCTGAAAGGTAACATTTAATGAAGTATTGACTCGCTATGTCAACAAAATGATGGCAGACATCTGTATGGATGATAGCATTTAGCAAAATGCTATAAAATCAATAGAGAGAAAGCAGGGAGTGGGCAGGAGCAGACTTGATGGCTCAGAGTCCGGGTAATGGAATATGGAGCCTTTTGTCCTTCCCTCACCAATGGAGAGAGGCCGAGGTGGCTGAACAGGACAACTTTGCAATGGCTGTTTGGAAGCCTACATGGAATGAGCTTCCTTTCATAATAGACAGGTGTTTGCATCACAAAGTTGACTCATGCTTCTTCAAATTATCCAGAATCAGTAAAGCTATAAACCTTTTCACACAGGCGTTAAGGTCCAGCAGATACTCACGAAGATGTAAGGAATGGAATCACAGCAGTAGGTGCAATTTCAACGTCAACAGAACCTACACATGTACCACTGTACAGCATGCAAGGCTTTCTCCAAGAAAGCAGAAGCCCTAGATTTCTCCCCCGACCTTGAAATAAACTTATGTAGGTCAACGTATATCCTCAACATGACTAATCAAAGTCAATGCATTTAAAAAAAACCTCACAAAAAAAAAACTTGTGGTGAACTCTACCTTGTCACCAAACATGGAAAAATCACACTCTTGCACCTAGAAGAATTAGCATCACCAGTGGCCAGTATTCACATATAGATTACAATGCTCATTCATTTAAAAGTTTACACTGAGGTTACAAGGAGCTCAGAGCTTTTGCCATCCAGTGGGTGACAGGCTGGTTAAAGGATGTTACGCGGTAGCTAATTTGTCAAATGATCTTGAGTATTGAAGCCAAAGGCTCATCCACACACTTCCACTTTCTTGCTGCTTTCCCCTGGGAAAACCTGCTCTTTACCACTGAATCGGAGCAAACATCAGTCAGTCGGGTTTTCCATGGACTGATGTTTGCTCTGATTCAGCTGCAAATAGGAGGTTTTCCTGGAGAAGCAAGCAGAAAACCTCTCGGACCCATGCTTTCTAGGCATCAGGCAAGAGAAGTGTGAATGAGCCCCAAAAATCTAGGCAGCATCTTAAAAAGCAGAGACATCACCTTGCCAACAAAGGTCCGTATAGTTAAAGCTATGGTTTTCACAGTAGTGATGTATGGAAGTGAGAGCTGGTCCATAAAGAAGGCTGATCGCCAAATAATTGATGCTTTTGAATTATGGTGCTGGAGGAGACTCTTGAGAGTCCTGTGGACTGCAAGAAGATCAAACCTATCCATTCTGAAGGAAATCAGCCCTGAGTGCTCACTGGAAGGACAGATCCTGAAGCCGAGGATCCAATACTTTGGCCATCTCATGAGAAGAGAAGATTCCCTGGAAAAGACCCTGATGTTGGGAAAGATTGAGGGCACAAGGAGAAGGGGACGACAGAGGACGAGATGGTTGGACAGTGTTCTCGAAGCTACCAGCATGAGTTTGACCAAACTGTGGGAGGCAGTGGAAGACAGGAGTGCCTGGCGTGCTCTGGTCCATGGGGTCACAAAGAGTCAGACATGACTAAACGACTAAACAACAACAACAGGAATAATCTTGTATGGTGTTAAAAAAGAAAAATTTTGTTTCATGTATGCATACTAATCAGCCATTGGAGAGTGCCTGTCTCCTAGTAATCACAAGTGAGCCCTCCAACAGAATGTGCGTTGCATCCTCCCTTCTAAAAGGATCGTTCCTGTTCAGGGTTCCGCCTATTTCCTACAAACACAGTCATTCTCTTCCATTTTCCTTTCCCAATTATCACTCATTTTTTGTTTTCGTCTTCCCCCTCCATCCCTTTTGCATTGTGTTTATCAAGTCTGCAAACCTGTGGGTAGCGACTGTGTTGCTTTTCATCTCTCAACAGTACAAAGAAAATTTTAGGTATACTCTATATAATAATTCTGATGATGCAGCCATCATTATATAGACAGCTGTGTGTGGAGATATTGCACAAAAACATACCATTTGTATCTCCACACAAAGATGCACTGCACACACATCTGTATCAGCAAGGACCAGACCACCCACTGCTCATCGACATCTTTATCAGCAAGGACCAGACCACCCAGTGTCAGGGCTGGAGAACAATTTTTGCACCAAGGCATTTACTCCCATAGGAATGAGCGGTAAATATTCACTGATATATGAGGGGAAATACATGGGGCACTTTGGCAAGGCTTCTGCATGGTGGCTGTGGTCATCTGGTGAGGTTCTCCTGATGGTGCCACAAGCTCCTGCAATTCAGCTTGTGGCTGCCCAGAGCAGGGTCTTTAGTGTAGTGGCACCTGGTACCTGGAACATACTTCCTCTGGAATACCATATCCAATATACAATAATTAAAACTATACATTTAAAAATAATAATAAAAATTATTAAGTGGTTTTATTAATTACATGTTTATGATATTACATTGTTTCTAAATTACTATGTGCTGTGCAATATTTATTTTCGTACCATATTGACATCTTTTATATTAAGTAGTTGATACATTTTTTTAAATAAACAGAACAAAAGCTCCCCCCACCCCAGGACTGTAGTGATCATAAGAACTCCAAAACACTGCTGGACAACACTTTATAACGTTGATAATTATAACTTCCAAGGGTTAACGAAGGCTTAGCCCTGATTCTGGGCCAGGCTGTTTTCTACACCCGCCAACCTGTTCTTCCCCCCAAATTACTTTTTGCCGACTTCAGTTTTCGAAAAGTGATTTCTGGCAGATATAATAGAAATTCTTCAAAATGTAAAACAGAAGTGAAATCTTACTAGATATTTATGGGACATGACCCAAGCTGATCTACGTGAACGCCCCCCCCCCCCGAAGACTGAGCCCTGGGCGACTGCCCAACGATAGCACCGGCCCTGCCCGGGACCCTCTTCTGGCGCCGGCGAAGTGCCTCTGAGCATGTGCTGAGGGCCGTTTTTCTTACAACGCTGCCCACATATTTGGGGAAGGTGTCTCCATGTCTTTGGACAAGAAATCAAGTTCTTTTGGGAGGCCGAGGGGGTGCTTAGAAGAAAACGGTTCGCAGTAGAGATGGAGTTGCATGTTTTATTTCTGTCCTCAACCTGCCCCGTTTCAGAGCAAAAGTCTGCCGCCTCCTCCATCGGGCTGGGTTGACACGAACGGGAGGGAGAGGCGGACCCGTCCCCGCCCGAACAAGGAGGGGGGGGCTCCCTCGGACACGGAGAACCCGCCCGCCATTAGAGGAGGAGGAGGCGGAGCCGACACGTTCAGTGAAGGTATCGAGGCGCTGGCCGGTGTTTGGCGGGATCCGCGCGGGGTGGGGGGTGGGGAGGAGGGGACAGAACGGAGGGAGACTTGACGGCCGCGGCGCAGCCGGCCCCTCCCACACTCGAGCGCACGCGCCTGGCCAGCCCCCAGCTAACGGCCGACCTAGCAGGAATTCGCGCGCCCGCCCGCCCGCCAGGCTGGCGAAGGCCGGGGCTTGCTCAAGGGACGTTTTGCCCAGCTCGAATTCCTTGCCTCCCATTGGCCACCGCGGAAGGGCTCGGCTTCGCCATTGGCTAGGCCCTGCTGCCAATCTTGGTTTGTTTCGAAGTCCACGCGTCCTTTTGTCTTCGGAGGGGAGGGCGTTGAAATGCGCCGCGGTGGCCATATTGCTTTAGGGTGGTGAAGTAGCCCGGGGGTGTGGGGGAGGTTAGAGTGGAGAGGAAGAAATCTCAGCTGAGGAGGAAGAGCGACTAGCTGTAAGCCAGGGAAACAAAAAGGGGAAAGATGAGGGGATGTGTGTTGTTAACCTTGCTCTTCAGCATCATTTGTTAGGGTGCGCTTGTCGTCCCCCCACCCCCATTTAAAGTCGTTACAGGTCCAGTTAGCTGCTTCTTGGACACCTAGTGCCGGTCTCTTTTGTGAGATCCCGTGGCCCATCATCGACCTGCTTAAATCATCCCTGCTTAGTTGCAGGCTTGCCTTTGACGCCAAGATTGTGGAGAGGGGAGGAAACGGGGATTGTATTTGGAGTGGAGGCTCTGGATCATAGCTGTCAACGTTTTCCCTTTTTTAAGGGAAATTCCCTTATTCCAAATAGGATTCCTCGCAAGAAAAGGGAAAAGTTGACATCTATGCTCTGGATGACAGGGACGTGGGTGGCGCTGTGGGTTAAACCACAGAGCCTAGGACTTGCCGATCAGAAGGTCGGCGGTTCGAATCCCCGCGACGGGGTGAGCTCCTGTTGCTCGGTCCCTCCTCCTGCCAACCTAGCAGTTCGAAAGCACGTCAAAGTGCAAGTAGATAAATAGGTACTGCTCCGGCAGGAAGGCAAACGGCGTTTCTGTGTGCTGCTCTGGTTCGCCAGAAGCAACGTAGTCATGCTGGCCACATGATCCGGAAGCTGTCTGTGGACAAACGCTGGCTCCCTCAGCCTGTAGAGCGAGATGAGCGCGCAACCCCAGAGTCGGTCACGACTGGACCTAATGGTCAGGGGTCCCTTTACCTTTATGGATGATGATGGCTCACTCCCACCTGACCTAGAACCAGTGCTTTCCCCCCCTAAAAAAATGTTTAGGGGTACTCTCATTTTCCTACTCATACTGAAATACTGCCCCTCAATGAGTCCAAACTCAGATTCACAAAATGTTTATGCGGATCCCATGAGTCCCCCCAGAAAAAAAGCACTGCCTAGAACCAGTTGGATCTCCCAGCCATGCTCATGTCACTCTGACAATGCAATCGACCTTCTGTAGACCTGCCAAGTCTTTTGGCGTAGTTAGTGCTCATGTACCTCTCACAATTTGAGGGAATGCTAAAAAACCAATACAGCTGAGCTGGAATGGGCTAATCTCTTCTGATTTGCCGCAGGGATGCACAGAGGTTCCACATACCTGCAGAAGATGCACATTGTCCACCCCACCTGATGGATCCCTGGAACCTAAGGGTGCTTTGCATTTATGTCCTCCTAAAAACTGTGGTTGGTGGTGTATTAAAAAAAAAAGGCCAAGCTCCTCTCGGTGAATGACACTGACTAACCTTGTTTGATTGTGTGTGTTTGGCAGCTTTTTCTCACTGCAAGGAAATTATTAGATTTCCTGAGGCTAAAAGGCTTCTTTCAGCCACAAGATTGTCATAGACCAGACTGGTCAAATATCAGTGGTGAACCACAAGAAATAAACTATATTCTAGTGACTAGTGTGCAGTATCATATTCCATACAAGGTGCCACATTTATTTATTTTTTCTACCTATCAACACGATGCCTCACAAAGTGGCACATTCACACTTCTCACCCACAACACTCAGTCCTCTGCCATCTCCGTTGTGTAGGTACACAGCAAGCTGCTTTCCTACCAAGTCAGACCACTGATCCATGTAGCTCAGTATTGCCAACACTGACTGGCAGTGACTGCAGGATTGTTGTTTTTAAGGCAGGAGTCCTTTCCAGCCATACCTGGAGATGCCATGAGTTGAATATGGAACTCTTTGCATGCAAAACATGTGTTCTACCACTGAGCCTTGCCCTGTGGCCTTTCTTCCTCATCCACTGGTACTGGCCGGTGCTGCTGCTGTCAGTCTGCATGGTGTTGGCTTGGCTCCACACTCCTTTAGTTGGGTGGTAGCCCTTGATGTTGCTCCTGGGCCAAGCTGGTGGTTAGGTTGGTGGGCTGGGCAATGCATGGCTAAGGATGGAGCAATGTGCAAGTTTGCTGCTAGAAGCAAAGTTCTAATGTGTGATAAGTAGTGCCACACCCATTCCTTTCCTAAGACATTTGTCCGTGCACCTGGAAATGAATTTTTCATTGGATTAAAGTTAAAGTTTAATATTGTGCTGGTAGCTGGTCTGGCCATAAGAAAAGCATGCAAACTTGTTTTTTTTTTTTTTAAAAAGCCAGCCTGCTAGTAGTCCTAGAAGATGCTGCTCCCACTCTGTGCAAATTGTGAACGTTCAGCTGGAAGTCAATGAAAATAAGAATTTAAAACCAAAGTAGAATAAGAAGGCTTAACTTTATTACTCAGGATTAACACATGCAAAGATAAAAAAAGATTGTGTAGTGTGATCCTAAGTAGGTTTATGTTCCATTGATTTCAGTGAAACTAACTGAATCAAACAATCCTTAGTATACTGTAAATAAGACTGCAGGCAGCTGTAGTGGGTTGTTGTTTTTTTAAAACAGAATGAAATCAAATATTAATATGCCTAAGCTGGTTTTGTTAACGTTACTTAAAACATAGGTCATAGGAAACTGCCTTATACTGAGTCTCTCCATTGGTTCATCTAGTTGAGTGTTTTCTACACTGATTGGCTGTGGTTCTCCAAGATATCAGATGGGACATTCCCAGCCTTAACTGGAGATGCCAGGGATTGAACATGGGACTTTATGCATGCAAAGTAGATGCTCTACTGCTGAACTATAGCTTTACCCTGGGTTAAGGGCTGAGCATCATAGTGGCAATGAATTTCTAGGTTAAGGCAGCAATTTCTAAGAGGAGCCTTTCTCCACTTCTTTTCAGGTATGGGCATAAGCATACCACTCTGCATCCACCCCCATTTGTTTGTTTTAAGAAATACCTAGTTTGACCACACAAAGCATTTAGTTCTGCAGTATTATTATTGGCCAAGTTTATTTGCTCTTGTGCTCATTCTGTATGATCTGCCTACGTGGAACTCTCTGAGATTAACATTGCACAGAAAACTCAGGTCAGTATCTTCAAATATAAAAACAGTTAAAAATGAAGAGTAAGGCAATGGTGCAGATACAGTATACAGTCCATCTCTTGTTCAGTGGCAAAATATAATCTTTTTATTTTGAGATTTTTTACTTTGACATACTAATGAGAACATGCAGTACTAAAAGCACTTTGAGTGAATTTTTAGGGGTGGATATTTTTCAGAATCTGTGAATGAATGCCCATTCAAATTGAAAATACTATAAGAGTATCAAGCTGTACTGTTTTGAAATGCTTTTGTAGCTGTGGAGGTAAAATATGTTGTGTTAGCTGGATTCCATGTAGTGCTGTAGAGAATGTCATTGGAACTGATAACCATAGATTATGATATATTTGTGTCTATTCATTTCTGGGTTGTATGATGGAAATGCCCCAGGAGTCCGATCGTGGATTCAGTTACCAAACATTTAGTTTAGTGTTTTGGCTGTTCCTTGCTTCTCTTTACAAAGCCGATGATCTTGGCAAATTGTAAATAGAAACCTGAGCTGAAGCAATTTTTCAGCACATTAGCAGCAAATTTAGTGCTTATGAAGATGTGATAGTGAAAGCATTAGCTTTGACAAGGAAGAGGGATGGTATGAAGTTTAGAAGTTCTGCATGAACCTTTGATATTTCATTTTAGCTCCACGTGGTAACATTTGCCATTTTGTTCCTGGATGTCCCAAGGAAAATATGCCAAGCTGTATGTGAGGTGGACCGGGAGGAGGCAATCATTAACTTTTACTGTTCTAGCTGCATCAGGATTTGAATACCTGCTTGTGCAATTTGTAGTACAGTAGACAGTTTCAACAGGGATCTTGGGTATGGTGATTGGTATAGGTGTTTGTCTGAGTCCAGATTTTATAAACAATGAATGAGACAATAACATTCATTGAACCAACTAGCCCTTAAAATAACGTTAGTGAGCTCTTTGGTGTTCAGAAGTAAAAGAAGCCACATCTCTATTCCTCACCTTGCTGTCTAGAATTATCTAGAGGAATAGGAAGAAGAAACATTGATACAAATCAGGCCTTGCTTGAAGGAAAGCATTCTGTGAGGTCCCAGAAAAAAAGAGTGCAAACATCTAATAAATGCAAAGCATTTCTTCAGTATCATCTTGCCTCACTGGGGTCTTGCAGGATAAACAGAGAAGACAAAACAAAACAAATTACACCCTAGAACGACAACATAGAATTGTCTCTGATCTAAATGTTGTCATTCAGGACCAAACAACGCACTACACATGTAATGGTATGGGGGGGGGGGGCTTTTGGCCTAGAAGTTGCTTTGAGATGTGTGTCAACCTAAGAAGAGTCTTATTGAATCAGCCAAAGGCCTATCTAGCCTAGCTTCCTATTTCCTACAGTAGAAAACCAGATACCTATGGAAAACCCACAGGCAGGACATGAGCACAGTAGTGATTATAAGCAGGGAAGTGAGGGCCTGTACTTAATTATTTCCGCACCCAATAGTGCCTTACTAAACAGCTCCCACCTACCAAACTGGTATTCCCAGCAGGTGTTTGAAAACTTCAAGAATGGAGGGCTTTTGGGGTGGGGAAAGGGTTAATCACGTCCTGTTTTTCAGTCTCCAGTGCTTCCCTAATGAAATGGCTTTTACAGCAAAATAAGAGCAATAGCTATTAGGCGATCACACACGTTTTCAGGCAGCATGTAGTTTGGCTGTCATACATAAAATTAAAATGCTGTGTTTCTGCATCACTCTGGAGTGCAAACCAGTTTGTCTATAGTTAGGTTTGGCAGATCACAGTTTTAGTAACAAAACACTCTTGAGCTGTTGTGCCTGGAGTAAAGGATGTGTGTTGTTTTCTATAGGATTGTGATGTTTTGGAATAAGAGATAATCCTCCAGAATAAGGCACATCTGGCAGCCCAGTCTGTCGTCTGCAGCAAATCTATCAGCCTTGACTTGGAGAGCTGCCATGAGACTGTTGTGAACTGAAAAAGCATTCTGTGTACAGCTGTATTGGCACACCTGAGCTTCATCACCCTCCCCTTAACATCAGAATGATTTTCCCCAAACACAGCAGTGCGCAGGCTTCCACTAATTGACTCACAAGTGGCAAGTGCCTTTTCTTGTGACTCCCCCAACACCCACACCTGGTGCAAAGATGCCCTCTACTAAGTTCTCCACGATGCGTTCTGAAGTTGATGGAAGGAGTTCTTTCTGGCATCTGCAAGAGCCCAACGATATAAGTACCCCCGCTCTAATTCCCTCTGAATTCTAATCAGTTTATAGAACAGTCAGGAATGGGTTGATGTCAGTTTCAGACTCCTGTATTGATTAGGAAGGAAAAAGTATTATAAATTTCACAGGTTCCAAATAGCTAAGTGGATTACTGTTTGGGATTTCCCCCTCTACGTCTTTTTTTAATACACATGTATCTTGGTTTACGATTAAGTTGTCCTGGTCAAAGAGTGCATTTTTTTGTTTTTAAGCAGAGATTGTATGGCCATCTGTCATGTATGATCTAGTTGAGATTCCTGCATTGCTGGTAGTTTGACTAGATGACCCTTGTGGTCCCTTCCAACTCTACAATTCTAAGATTCTTTGTTTCACTTTACTGTACCAGAAAAGACATGAGAGCATGGGAACACTAGGAACAGGTTTACTTACATGCAATAAAATCACACAGCATTCCTTGAAGGGTATTAGCTTATTAGATCAAGTGTTGGCGGCATAAGATCAGTGCGTCCAACAGTGTCCCCACCTGAGCATCCATGATGGGGCTCCACATCTGTAGAATACTACTCATCCGTCATGGATGCTTTAGCTGTGATTCCTGCATTGCTGGGGGTTGGGCAAGCCGACCCTCGGGGTCCCTTCCAACTCTACGATTCTTTGATTCTACACACGGTCCCATTAATTCATGCCTTCAAATGGGCTTGGGGACTTAGGCAGATAATGGTGCTATGCCTTTTTAAAGTGTTTTATAGTTTAAACTATTTTCCTGTTATGCTGGTCTGCTATTGGTGTTGATAATTTTATTGTGGGATTTCAGTGTTGTACAGTGTTTTGATTCTGATATAGGAAGCTGCCTTGAGAAGGAAACAAGCTCATCTTGTAGGGTGGCCATTTGGGTACACAAGTGTGAAAACTGTTCTGGTGCAAAAGCCTCAAGAGGTCAGATGAGGCCTTCTTCTGATTTAAATGGCAATCCATTATAGTGCTCTGCTGTGCTCATGGCAACGCCTACTAAACCACTCATCTTCAGTTTAGGGAACAGGATGTCTTATGAAACCTTGGGGAAAGTTTTATTGAAGTTAACTTCTCAATCCGTAAGGAAATCCCTTATCTGTCAAACACAAGTGGAAATGGATAACCACTTACCATGTGATTGGTGCTTAAAACATGCCACATGCTGTTTTTAGAAAGCTGCATGGGGGAAGGACTAACATGGGGGGCAGTCAGGAAGTCGGGCTTGTATATCTCATGAAGCTGTCGCCATAACTCAAGCATCGTCTTGCCTATAGTCTAAAGTGGCCAAGTCTCCTGTCCTCGATGTCTTCTACCTCCTTCTGCATATGTAGACCATGCGCAGGGCAGGTGCAAAGTCACCATGACTGACAAGGAAAGGGCTGTAGCTCATTGGCAGAGCATCTGCTTTGCATACAGAAGGTTCTGGGTTCAATGCTCATTTCCAGGTAGGGCTGGGAATGCCTCTTGTCTGAAATCCTAGACTACTGAGCCAATGCTCATTAATTCAGTAGGAAGCAGCTTCCTATTTCTCTCCATGTAGTTAGAACTGTAACGGGAGGCTTTTAAAAATAACAACTACCTGGTAGTATGATGCCTTTGACTACCAATGGTGGTCAAAGGATGAACTGGATTGTTTTGGGCAGCTTTTTAAAAATAATAATAATAATAATAATAATAATGCAAAGTTTTGTTAACATTCCACAGCATTGGTTAACAAACCATAAATTTCAACACAGCCCACCTATCTTCCTCTTTTGACTCATCCCCTGATGTTAAGCAAAACAAAAAGCGAAAAAGAAATGAAACCAAGAGAAGGAACACTGAATATTGTGTGTGTGATGATATAATTTTAAAGCTGTGTTTGTTTAATTCATATGTAATTTTCCAATGTGGAATGAATGCCATGTGAAGAAAAAGACAAAGGGATTGTGTGTGTGTATGTGAAGAAAAGTTATTCCCAGGGTGTAGTATACAACGAATCACAACTCAAAAGAGCTACAAAAAGTTATCTTCTCTCCATTAAATAACTTGAATGATTACACACTTTCTTTTTGATGTTTTAAACATGGTGCGATGTGTGCACCTTGGCAGCCTTGATGACCCATAGACTGGAACCCTGCAAAAATCATTATGATAACGGAACTGCTTTAGAAGCCTCAGATGATTTTGAAAACATGTGATCGATGACCTTTATTGCTACGGCTTTTATTTCAGTTATTTCCCCTCCTGCATCAAAGGAAATAAAATTCAAAGGGGGTTTGTGAGTGTTAAGGATAAAAGAGGGAATTAAACCGTTTCCATATCATGTTTGCTGCTGATCTCCTTAATCACTAGGGCAGAAGAAATAATTACCTCTAGTAGCTTTTATTTATTTATTTTATATACATGGAAGTGTGCTGTATTTTTATATTGCCTAACAGTGGCAGATTCCTGAACTCTGCCAGTTTAACTTTTAATAATACTCAACATGGCACAGTTCTGTATTTGTGCTCAGGCTGTTTACATAATATGATCATCCTGCTGGATCTTCTGTCGCCTGGTATTTTTTTCCACCAAAGCTGGCTGCATGTACTCCATCCTGTAAAACCCCGAGGGGAGCAGAACGTGCAGAAGAGCTGATATCCCTCCTACCCCCACAATACAAATTTAAGTTGCAGTAAGAGAACATGCAGTCCTTGGGTTGTCCCAAGGTTAAGAGTTCCTACAGCATAGCGATCTTCGAAACTATTTTGCTTAACATGCAGCCTCGCCCGGCAGAAGGAGGAAAACGGCATTGCTAACAAGTGGTGAATAATCGTTGCCTTTGTGACTGCTTGTAAGTTTCCCATTTGGTTGGCCAAGGTGGGAAGCAGGATGCCCGACGAGGTGGACCTTTACTTTGATCTAGCAAGACCCTTCCTACATTGTTATGAAAGCCAAAGGAACTTCAGGGTGTCCACAGAGCCCGTCACTGTGATCCTAAACAATTGCAGTGACATGTCTGGCAGCAATGCTGCGAGGCATGTTGTTCACAGATTTATACTGATGAAGCCTAAAGGTACATTTGCGTACGCCTCCTGTAAGTCAATGCAAAACAGCAAAAAGAAAAAAGGAAAAAAGATCAATATGTTTATATTAGCAAATATACTTGTCACCCATCCTAGTAACCCTTGCAGTTCTTTGCTCCAACACAGGAATTTGGGAGTGGGTTGTTTAATGCCGAACAGTTGGGTAGACTGCTGTTTGCACATTTTTCTTACTTTTTTTGTACAGACAACAATTGGAAAACTAACTTTTTTTGTGAGGAGGGGGATTAAAATGGAATCGTCATAGAAGGAGCTTTTAATATTACCGAAGCCCCTCACAGCTGTCATTGCAATCCAGAATGCAAGTGTGGTAGATGAAATAACCCACAGTGAGCACATATGCATGCATAGCAAGTCTTTGGATCAAGCCCTTCCTATTTCAATGTAGCAGATGTTGAAAACTCTAATATTGCTTTGCAAAGAGGAAACGACAGCTAAATAACATTTATGAATGCATCAACCATGCTTTTCCTGTTAATGGAAAAAGCATAATGTTTGTGTTGTTGGCGTGCAAGCTGTGTGTGTATATGTGATTGATATATAATTACACACAAAACACGCACACACACATTCTCCCTATTTATAACATTGTGGATGTTACCAAGAAAAAAAAACGTTGCTAAAATATTGTTTCTTCATTTTAGGCACATTGTTTCCAATTTTTTTATCGATGCACTAGAACCTTATTAATTAAACTGTCTGGAAAAGGTTAGCTTTATTTACACTCAGGATTATTTGGGAATGCACAGCATCCTGCATATGCTGTGCCTACTTCTCATAGCTAGTTGTTTGTATATGACTGTTTCCCCTCCTCCACAAAAAAGCAATGCTCAGGATGGTAGTCTGCTGTGAGGCTTATCGCTGATTTCCACATCATTGAAAAATGGGGATTATCTCTGATTCCCACAGCCTAAATGGCATTCACACAGCATTCACATAATACTCCACGGCTACTGTCTATCTTTTATATGGAGTCGAGGAAGATGTCTTACACCAGGTCAGACTCTTTGTCCATCGTGACCTATATATAGCTTACTTGGATTGGCAGTGGCTCTCCAGGGTCTTGGGCAAACAAGGTCTTTCTCATCATCGGCCATTTGTTCCTTAAAAAAAGAAAACCAGAGACACTAAGAATTGAACTTGGTACCTTCTGTGCCCATGCTCTGTATCTAAGACGTGGTAGTTTCCCAGCAATATGTTCAAAGTGCAACATGATATGCCTCACATTTGCCATTGTTGAGCTCCCACAGGCAGTCTTTTACCTCTCTTTTACCTCGGATACTGCACATGGACCACCAAACCCAACACTTTCCCTTGACAATGAAGTAAGAGCATAATAGTTTTGTCATGTGGTGTCAGGCTAAGACCCATCTAGTCCAGCACTTGTTTGTTTTGAAGAGTGTCTTTCCAGATGTTTCTGGGGGTTCCACAACCAGGACATGATAATGTTTTCCAACCCCTGCTGCCGCTGCTATTGTTACTCATTTGTATTCCGCTCTTCATCCGAAGATCACAGGGTGGTTCACAGCATAAAACTACAAAATGAGAACACAAAATACATGATAAACCGAAACCCAACCAAATAACCCCCATCCCACAAACACATTTAGAAGGCCATAGAATGTTAATCAGCCAAAGATCTGGTTATAGAGAATCATGTTTGCCTGGCGCCTAAAGATATGTAATGAAGGCGCCAGGCAAGCGTACCTGGAGAGAGCATTCCACAAACTGGGAGCCAGCACAGAAAAGGCACATTCTTGTGTTGCCACCCTCTGCACCTCTCATGGAGGTGACACACAAAGAAAGGCCTCTGATGGTTACTGCTGTTCATTTCTAGCACCTGATAATCAACAGGTCACTGCTTCTAAAAATGGATGGTACACTTAGTTAAAATGACCAGTAATCATGGTTAGATTCCCATAAATAGGTCTAATTCTTTTTAAAGTATGCTAAGCTGTTGGCCACCATAATAGCTTGGAATAAGAATGATCTGAGTATGAATTTCATAAATTATTTTTTTCTATGCTGTTCTAGAGGTTAATTACACATAGATGATAGCCCAACCTTCTTTTGAAATGATTGGAAGAAAGAAACTCCATAGCTCACCAGGCAATTTATTCCCTTACTGACCTGCCATTGTGGTTAACTAAAATTGATCTTTCTGCAGAAGAAGGAACAATGGCTTGTTCTATTGCATGGGATAAGCTATTGTTCTCCCCTTATTTCTGCATTAGCTGCTGGGCCATAGCCTAAAAACTTGGCTCATTTGGTTAGCGCGAATTCTTAATTCATTTTCTATATAATGAAGGACTGCCTTCAAGATTTCATTATCTTTATGATCAAAAAAAATTTGGTGTTAATATTTAAGTATCTTCCACTATTGAGGAACCCAAATCTATTATAAAAGACCTAGTCTAATTTTCATGAAATTTTGTGTGCCAGTAGATATTGCTATGTACACTGGAAGTCCCGTTGGACCTTATTATTCTTATTAATCATTTATATGGGACCATAAATGTGTAAAGCACAGTGCCATGTAGTTTATAGCTTTTATATTCATTTTTATTATATTACTCATTCACTGTGTGTGTGTATATATATATATGAATGGGAATGTGTGATTCCTGAGATAGTGAGGAACAAGGTGATAAATTTCCTCTAAATGTAAAAATAATGGGTACTTCATGAGTGGCAAGATCAAATATATTCTCCTAGAGGCTGTGCATAAATTATATAACTTTTTCTAAAGTGAACCAAACTCTATTCTTCCATTTGCAACGCTGGGGAAAAAACAATCTGCTGTGCAAAATTAAGGGGTCTCATCATTTCTGGACGGACTTGCATCACTCACACCTGATTGGACATTAAGATTTCACCAAGACTGTCCCAGGCTATTGAAATGAGAATCCCAATAAGGTCAGAAATATATACTTGAAAAAGTACATAGGTCATGATTCAACGTATCCATTTCTAAGCTGGTTATAGAATTCACCATCTGACATATAGGTCCTTTAAAATAACCAAAGGGATTCGACAGTGAATTATGCCCTGCCACATGTTGAGGAAAGCACTTGGCTTTAAAGGAGTGAGTGATGTTTCAGAGCATGATTCATGGGGATCAAGTAAGAGACAGTGCAGTTTTCCTTTTGTACCTGCTTCAGATTCTGTTGCTACCACCGTAGGCAAAATGGCGGGCAGGCCTGGGGTGTGGGTCAGCTGTTACCACTGCTGCTATAGTGTTTAAATGACTATGGTCCAGGTACAGTGGTACCTTGGTTCCCAAACGCCTCGATACTCAAATGCCTTGGTTCCCAAATGCCAAAAACCCGGAAGTAAGTGTTCTGGTTTTCAAACATTTTTCGGAAGCCAAATGTTCGATGCAGTTGTTGGTTATTGTTTCTGGGGCGCCTGCACCAATCAGAAGCTGTGCCTTGGTTTCTGAACATTTTGGAAGTCAAACAGACCTCCGGAAGGAATTAAGTTTGGCGCTTTTGTTTTGCTATTTGTTTTGCGTTTTTGTTTTTGAGGCTTTTTCAGTTAATTTGTTTTTGTGACTGTGTGGAATTCAGTTCAGCTACTGATTGATTGATTGATTGATCCAAACAATGATTATCATCAGTGCAGTTAAGAAAAAGAATTGATTTTAAATTTTATCATCTACAATACTTATTTATTTTATAGTACAGTACATTGATTGTTGCTTTCGTTTTATGGCTCAATGGTCTCGTTAGATAGCAAAATTCATGTTAAATTGCTGTTTTAGGGGTTGTTTTTAAAAGTCTGGAACGGATTAATCCATTTTACATTACTTTCTATGGGAAAGCATGCCTTGATTTTGGAGCGGACTTCCGGAACGGATTAAGTTTGAGAACCAAGGTACCACTGTACTGGATTATAAGGGGAACAGGCTTTCACAACCACGTGACTCATCTTTTCACATGTCTTCATGGTAAGAGTGATCTCTGCCAGTCAGGGATCGTGTAAGTGAGAGTGATAACAGAACACTATACAACTGGTCAGATATAGCCATGTGACAACATCACCAAGCCTATTCAGAGGATACAGTGGTGCCCCGCAAGACGAATGCCTCGCAAGACGGAAAACCCGCTAGACGAAAGGGTTTTCCGTTTTGGAGGTGCTTCGCAAAACGAATTTCCTATGTGCTTGCTTCGCAAGACGAAAATGTCTTGCGAGTTCCTGCGGGGTTTTTTTCCTTTCCCCCCCTTTTTCCCAAGCCGCTAAACCGCTTATCAGCTGATGGCTAAGCCACTTATCAGCTGATCTTTAAGCCGCTTAACAGCTGATGCTAAGCCGCTTATCAGCTGATCTTTAAGCCGCTTAACAGCTGATGGTTAAGCCGCTTATCAGCTGATCTTTAAGCCGCTTAACAGCTGATGCTAAGCCGCTTATCAGCTGGTCTTTAAGCCGCTTAACAGCTGATGCTAAGCCGCTTATCAGCTGATCGTTAAGCCGCTTATCAGCTGATCTTTAAGCCGGCTAAGCCGCTAATACTGTAGCGCTAAGCGCTAAACCTCTAATGGGCTTGCTTCGCAAGACGAAAAAACCCGCAAGACGAAGAGACTCGCGGAACGGATTCTTTTCGTCTTGCGAGGCACCACTGTAGTTATGTTTCCTGAACTGACATTGCCATCACTCTGAATGGGCAAGCCTTTTCATTCCCTATACAGACCTTCAGGAAGCTTTTCATACCTGCATAAAGCATTCACAAATAATGTTCCTATTACTTTTTGACTCAGGCCTTCCAAAAGCTTCTTCTCAACTCTCCTTTGCTGGAAAAGAAAAAGAAAGATAATTATTGTTTCGGTTTCAATCACCATCTTTTTATTACTCTTTGGTAATAGTACAGCGGGGAAAGGATTGAACTCATTTCTTGTTTACTTAAAAAAACAACCCTCAGTGGTTTGCATCATTTTACAGAAACCATTTTAGTTTAATGAAAGGCTGACAGTTTTCTTTTCAAAGTATTTCATGAGGTGTAAAAAACTGATACAATGAAAACCATTCCTGAGCAGGATTCATAAATAATGAATATATTTTCTTATTAATCCATATTTTAGTTTAACTTGGGCTCATAGCAACTTAGTTCCTCAGGGAATGCAGGTTTTAGTTTTTGGTGTAGTTTTTTTCTACAAGGGAAGGTGATGAGCTATGGTCCCCTGGGAATTAAATTGTGAAAACAATCTCGGTTTCGTACATGCTAATATAGATCTGTTATTCCCTTTCCACATCTATTGCAAGACATTTTAAATTGTGGCTGATCTTTTATGCAAATAGCTGTCTTATTAGACATTGTGGCTGTATGTGCTAATGTCTCTCTGGGTTTCTTGGGAGTTTGCTATCTAACCATCAAAGCAGTCGAAATGAATGATGATTACTGCACAGCTTTGAAGAACAAAGAAAAGTCACAGCAATTTTAGAGGTCTTGGTTACTGCAAAATCAGTGACAGCTTGAACCACACAGACATCCAGGAGGGTCTCTGTGGCTCATATTAACTAGGCCAAACTTTTTTGTTTTGTTTTTTTTTTTAAAGAAGAAAATAGATATTATTTTTTTGCTTCATAGTTTACTGGCAGCTGCAAAAAGTGCAGTCTTTTTTCACTGCTGACATTTTGTTGCAAATGTTCCAAGGGTATTGAATTAGCAAAAGGCAATTAAAAAACCCTATTTCTTCAAGCAAATAAAGTAAGCTGTGAACTGGATGTTGCACATAAAAGTTTGTGTATCATCAACTTTACTAGCCTTTGTTCCTGTTTTGTGTCATCTGGAATATGGCAGCATTGCAGATTTGACGGGGGGGAGGGGAGACAAACACATAGGTCTCTGTGTGAGGTGAGGTGTAGGATTGGTGGGTGAGGAGGTTATCCTTATTGCATTCATTATATTACACGGGTCACATCTACATTATGAATCTGCATCAGTTTCATAACACTTAGAACTTCCCATAAAGAATCCAGGGAATTGTAATGTGGCTGGGATTCTAGCAGTTCTGTAGCCCCCCTTCCCTGACTGAACCACATTCCTAGGTTTTCCTGAGAAAAGGGAGAGGGAGAGACTGTTAAACCCGTTTTCATAGAACCATAGGGTTGGATCATCTCGTCCAACTCCCTGCTATGCCGGACTCTTTTGCCCAACGTGGGACTCTAACCCACAACCCTGAGATTAAGAGTCTCTACAGTTCTACCAACTGAACTATCTTCCAGTATTCTTTTAAGTCTGTAGTGTGCCTTTGTAGAGAGCTGATGATGAATAGCCACGTAGTCTATAAAGTTATTGCGAAGGACTGTGTCGCATTTGTTGATGTGAAACGTGTTGGGTTAGATCAAGAATGGGGAATTTCAGGCACCATGGGGGGAAATGTCAGCCTCTAAGCCTCTCTGACTGATCCCCAGGCCAGATCCTCTCCCCAGCCACACCTACCTGCTGTCTCTCTCACACGTCCTTTAGTGTTTTCCTCTAGGTGTGTCCCTGGACTCTGATAATGTCCCTTGCTTCCCTGATGGAGGACTGTGAGGGGTGTGTAGGAGCTAACGCACTGTACAAAGGTGAAATTTACATTAATTGCTCCACCCACTTGGAATCATAGAATCGTGTGTGCATCTGTGTAGTTATTTCTTGAGTCAATTATTAGATGTATTGGTATGCTACCCTTTTCTGCAAGGACAGCATTCAGGATGACTCACACCACTTACAACCATAGATATTGATAAACTCTTTCCCTCTTTCCTCACAGAGTTCTGAGACACATAAAAAAATGGGTAGAAAAGATTCTTCTTCTGCAAGAGCTCCTGTTGAGCAGCACAGAAAACAAATAGGTAAAACATTTCCCTTTTTACTTAATATATTTGTTTCTCTTTTTAGTTTTTGTGAGTGCTGCATTCCTGTAGGAATGATAGTGAGTTCTAAAGCAGATTACAGTGGTACCTCGGGATGCGAATGGGATCCGTTCCGGAGCCCCGTTCGCATCCTGAACAGAATGTAAGACGCGACAGCGCGTCTGTGCGTTGGAGGGTCGCATTTTGCCACTTCCGCGCATGCGTGTGATGTAATTTTGACTGTCTTTGCATGCGCGAGCGGCGAAACCCAGAAGTAACGCGCTCCATTACTTCTGGGTTGCCGCGGAGCACAACCCGAAAGCTCTCAACCTGAAGCGTATTTATCCCGAGGTATAACTGTATTTTAACTGCCTTCTAACAACATGTTTTGAACTGACTCAACTTTCTAATGCACGTTGCTGGACTATCATTCTTGACTGTTCGCCATTAGTCTCAAGCCGATGAGAGTTGGAGATCAACAACATCTGGAGAGCCACAGGTTAACCACCCTGCTGTAATGGTTTCACTGGATATGATGTACTCTCAGATTAACTCAAAGTATTGGAGGCAAAGTGAAACTCAGTGTAATAACGTAGCTCTTTTGGTTAAAAGAAGAGTAGTTGGATATAGCACATACCAAATTGATTAATGGTGAGGGTGGCTTGAACTGTGGGTTGTTTGAATATAGAGAATCTGTTGCATTGAGGCTGCATTCACACTAAGTCTGGACCTGTTATGATGTGAACATGTGATTGCTTCACTGTGCATCCAATTCTCCAGTTTCCCGTGTGGGCATTATCCTGCATTGCTACAGCACATTAGCCAGAGAATCAGATGCTGCTGCTCTTGGTGGGCTGTACCGCATTAGACTGAAAGCTGTAAATTAGATTATCATACAAAAAATGTATCTGCACATTTAGAAATAGTTGCCGGGAAGAAGACGAGGCATTGTTTTGCATTTGTAGAGAAGCCATTGTATATGATTGAGCATTCACAGTGTGATTCCCCACTTGCAGTCGGAAATGGTGCGACCCAGCATGAGCCAAATCAGCACAGTGAGTTGTTCAGCAAAGGTGTGCTGGGATGTGGACTGGAACTGAAAAACAGAGGTTTGGGTGCAATTAATTACACATGTGCTTCACTGCAGGCCCAAACTCTGACACTGTTTTTTCCATCTGCATCTGAATGAGAGTTGGCCTTCATTCTGAAACCAAATAGCTTGCAGGCCGTTCCAGAGGATTGAATCCAGGTTACACAACTTATTTGCCATAGTTTGTTGCAGTGACAAACATCAATTACTAGGTATTCTTCTTCCGCCTAACTTGTCCTCACTTAAGGCAAGTCAAACTGAAAAAAGAAATAAGAATGAATGTTCTGATTCAGATGGGGGAAGACTTCTAGATCAGGGTAGATTTCACGTGGCCCATTGCTTTTCCTTCTCCTGTATGGACTGTAGAGCTCTGCTTCAATTTTCTATCAGGAGAATTAAAGTCTTTTTTTTTAAAAAAAAAATGGACACAAAACCTTACTTTGTTCTCACATTATCTGTTTAAGTACCTCAGTTACCATAGGTTTCATCTGCTAGAGTTTATATGGCATGCACACACCACCACCTTGGCATTTTTTGTGTGGATAGCAGACAGAAAGGCTTTCTGCACAACTACTCCAAATATCCAAACAGTATTTAGTCTCGGTGCATTAACTCCTGCAGGTACCTCTTCAGTTACAATAGTGGAATCAGGGAGACTGCAGAGTTTTCATTCCCACTGCATCATCTCCAATATGGAAGCTTTGTAGGGTGTTTCAGATTTCCGTGGAATTTACCAACGACTTCAAGTATTTTTCCTCCTCCCCACCCTCCCACTTGGTTGTGCAACGGTTTGCACAACCAGCAGTCAGTTCTGGAAAATTCAACCCTGATTGCTCCTTATCGGGTTTGCATACAATACTTGCTTCCTGCCTCTGCAATAAATGCAAGGAGTTGCCAAATTGGCTCAAGCTAGTTAATTTCACCTCTACTGTGAAATGACTTCTCTGAACTCAAGCATGTCAGTTTCAAACTGTCTCTTTGTAGCCCTTGTGGAACTTTTTTGGGTTGTTACATAGCCAGCTGCATCTATTTTTTCCTCTGTCTGAGCTGCATGCTCCAGAGCTTGCACATCCAGCCACTGATTATTTTTATATCCTTGTGGGAATTATATCGAATAGAATTAGACACCACAAAGCATTAGGATACTTTCCCGTGCTAACAGAACAGCAGTAATTGCAATGGAGATTGAATCAGGAGAATTCATGTGTCATCCTAAGTAGAATATCGTGTTTGCACACAGTAGATTGGGGACAACCTGAAGCACAAAATTCCCATGAGCATCAAGCCCTAGTTTTCTGGGCGTCTGATGGCCGAGCGAAGGACTCAGATACCGGGGGTGGGGAGCATTTCTTAAGCTGAAATGCTGCTGTTGCAGTATTCATTACAATCTGAAATGGAGAAGAAATTTTTAGGGAAATAGGTGCTTGAATTGTCATTCTACCAAACATTACGAACAGTCCAGGTTCATATTCTGAGACAGGTAATTATAATGATAATTTATTTAATCATGAACTTCACTGACATAACTAACAGCAACACAAAAACGGCTAACACGATAGTAAGGTATTGCTGTGGTTCTTAGTAAAGATGGCTGAATAAGTACTTTTGCACTGGAGTTGTACAGCAGAGGGATTTGCAGCCATTAATAATTTGAATTCAGAAAACATAAAAGAGGCTTACCAAATTAGTTTAGACTTTGGGGGGTGTAAAGTTGTGAATCATCGCAAAACACCACAAAAATGGTCTGTTAATTGCACAACACTTAAATGCACCACAAGGCATTCAGAGTGGAACTGGTTGCCTGCTCTTACATTTTTGCACATATTAGATAATATCAAGGCATATTGTAAGCTTGGGGAAAACCTTTGGATCAAAAGGGGGGATATATAGTATTAGTATCTCAATTTATCATTAATTGATTGGTTTTAGTAGTCACACCAAAAGAAAAACTACGTAAAGAGAACCAAAGCCTGTGCTGTCAGGTATTTATGTTAGGTAGCACAAATTCATATTCATTAACTACTGAGAATCAATTTACAGACAGCCAAGGCTTGTCTTTAATCCATTGTTTCAAGTCAGGGAAGTTCTCTCCATGAACTCTTCTTCATTGCAGCTGTTCTAGTTAAGCAAGTGTGTTATTTACTGGGATGCTGATTACGTTCTATGATATTATTAATCTGAAAACCACCATCGACATCACCAGTGTAACGGGGATGCAAAATGTGGACTGCAACTGCTCTGAATACATAAATAGCTTCCTTTCTTTAAAAAAGACCTTCTCCTGTTTAATTTAGAACACATGTCCTCCTGAACAATCACTGTCATGTGGACTTTCTGCTTCTACCTTAGAAGAAGGAGAGAGGGATTGTGTCGACAGTGTTTTCTCCTCCCATTGGAGGTGGGCTGTCACATATTCCAACCAGCAGTAACTCCATGCTCCATTGGTAACATTCAGCTTCTCCAGAAAGATTAGATAAGAGCAGTGTGTACTTGGTCCTAACACCAATTAAGAGCATGACCCATAAGGATGTAGGAGGCTGCCTTATACCAAATCAGACCATTGGTCCTTCTAGCGCAGTATTGTTGACACTGATTGTCAGCGGTTCTCCAGAGTTTCAGAGAGGAGTCATTCTCAGCCCTTCCTGAAGATGCAAGGGGTTGTACTTGATGCATTCTGCATGCAAGGCAACTGGTTTACCATTAATCTACAGCCATTCCTTGTAGACATACATTACCAACATGTGGAAGAATTAGCCACAGAGCTCCTGCTCCCTTTGTGTACAGTTGTGCATGGAAGCAGCACACTGGGGCATTATGAGGATTGGGGTGACATGAAAAAGAGGGTGCTTACTGCCCCTCCCTGATTCCTTCTGCTACCTCTGTGTTCAGTTTTGAAAAGTCGTAAAAGAGAAGAAGGGGCATGTCTTCCACAAACCTGGACTATATTCCTTGCGTTGCAAATGAACACATCCGAAGTTCCGAGGTATTTCTGCCATGTGTGTTATTCTAGTTTATTTTAAAGAGAATGGATGCTATTTCCATCACAGCCAACTGTACAATTCAAAAGAATGGAAGAATACGATCATGAATTAAACAGGTTGTTTCCTTTTGTTGAAGTGAATAGGAAATTCATGCTGAGTGACTGTAGTAACTATTAACCTTTGTCATGCATCCCTTGAGCTCCCAGCACAAAACAGTAAAACCATCAAAGTGACACAGGTTAAAGAAGCAGAAATGTGCTTGTTTCCAGCACGGCACTTTTTAACAGTACAGTATTTTTAACCTGTCAAATAAATACCTGATTGTCACTGATGTATCTTACAGTCATATAAAACTTATGAACCACAATATATATACTTTGAGGGGTTTTTTTGTTTTTTGTTCGTTTTTTAAGTGCCTGATGCCTCTTGCCAGTTTCCCACTCTCACATTGGCTGAAGCTGCTGTGATGTCACAAATGATCCTGACTGCTGTGGGTGAAGGACTAGTTTATAGAATGCTGGAAATCAGTAAAATTTGGAGAGAAAATGAAGCTTTAGTTTGGCTTGGCATGTGTGCATCCTTCACACATGTAATACAGACTTTGTACTGCATGGGGGTTAGAGAGATGGATTAGTGGGTAGCATGCAGGGGCTTGAGGGATGATGTGGGACATTAAGAAGGCAGGGATATATAATCCTCACAAAAAGGTTATAGACAAACGGGGTGTGTTGTTACTGGGAAGAAGTACTGAGTATGCACTACCTGCACCTTGTGGCTAGTAGTCGTATGACAAAACAATAAGAAAGTCAACATGTGACATTCATGGAGCACAGTTCCAGTCTCAACACTGTAATAATAGATTCTTTATTGTGCCTTGGGATGAACAGCTAGGTGGAGGGTCTGTTTTCTCTATCTTGACTGTCATGATCACAAGCCTATTTTCCATGAATTCATCTGACTGGCTTTGAAGATTTTGAAAGCTGACCATTTTTTATTTTTTATTAATAAGGCTTTTGTGCATGTGCCCTGCCATGGCCTGTGTTTAATTCCAGAAAGTGAAATCGTTATGCATTTGTCTATAAATATTTAATACTAATTTTTTATAAATGAGAAATTGATTTTGAAGTCCGGTAATAGCAAGAGTCAATTTGAAAGAGGTTCTTTTGCAATTGTTTTCCATACTAGTAGTAAATATAATTTATGAGCCTTTTTATAACATGCCATCAGGGAGATGGCTCTTGCAATACATTATGATAGTGAACCAATAATTACACTTAATACTTTTTCATATGTGTAGCACCTTGTATCCAACAAAGTCCAAATGCTTTACAAGGACTACTTGACTGTTTGATTACCTGGTTACGTTTCAGAAAGTAGACAGTTGATGCAACTTGGATTAATTTTAATTGGGCTGGACTACTTTTGTCCTGGTTTGTTTTTTTTAAAGACGGTGAGCCTGGTCTGCCTAAATTGGGAGTTGTGAAGAGTAGGTATATACTCAGAAGTGTTCTCCCCAACTCTGAATTGGTTAGTTGTCACATGATGGTTTGAAGAACGGTTTCTGGAATCACTGATCTGAAAAGGCAAAGGAAGAACAGGCAGCCTTAAAGGAGTCACCTCTCTTTCAGTTTCTGCCTTGTGCACTGCATGCAGTGGCATTCAGGAACTGGTTCCTTGGGGGATCTGGCTCAGGGGCTGCTGTCTCCAGGGGTTCTTAATTTAGGCTTCTCTGGCCCAAGGGATCCTGACTGACAGGCTCTGGATTGCCCCCAGAGTTTGCACTGTCTCCTCAATTCAGCTGATTCCTTATTTGTCAAGAGTCCGGGCCACTGATCCGGGTTGGAGGCCATGGCAGCCTCTTTTCTGTGTTTTGCGGCCGAGAAGAATTCTAGTGGATCTTTTACTCCTGCATTTATTATTTATTTCTAGAGCAGCACAGTAGCTTTTGGTGCTGCACGTGGATCCAAAGAAAAGCTACAGATCCCAACCTCAAGCTTATGCTCTAGAAATGATAATAATCAACAAACACAGCAAATGAACAGAAAGGTAGAGGGGGGAGATGAGTTTGAGAATGCCAGAGTTGAATAAGGTGAGTTTTTAATTGGTGTTTCTACACACATGAGTTGAAGGAGACCGATGGCAGGAAGAAGTTCCAAATGTCAGGAAGCAGCAGGGAAAAAATGTACTTTGGGGGTTCATGGAAGAGGAAGGGAAGAGAGAAGGGATATGGAGAGAGGGAGGAGTTGGCAGAAGAGGAAGAAAGAGACTGAAGACCTCTGGAAGGCAATAGAAGTCTTAAAAGAATGTGAGAGGAGGGAAGAAGGGAGCCTAGTGTAGTGGAGTGATGTAACAATGAGCAGAATAGAGAGAGACGAAACTCAAGACTGAAGATTTGAAGGAAGAGACAAAAGAGGGTTGTAGCAGCCAATGCAAAAAAATCACGGAGAGTGAATATGAACATTAGTTCATCATTCTGTTTTAAAACTCCAGTGTGGTACATGTAGAAACTGCAAAGAAGAGAGCCACAAGGCCCAGCAGTTGAGGGAAGGCATGGGGAGCGGAGATGGAGAGGAAACAAAGACCAGACCAACAGCCTCCGAGTAAGATTGTCCTGAAACCATCCTGCTTCAGAGTTGTCTCCCCAGCTCATTGACGCTGTGTCCTCTTCACTCATACAGTGACATAGGTGCCCTAAGAGAGCACCAAGGCTTAAAAACCTCTATCCCAGCGTGTGGTTGGGAAGGATCTCCCGATTACTTCTCAAAGTCACCTAGCACTTGATTGAAAAAGCCACAAATTCCGCAAACTGCGTGTTGATTTCTGCTTTTGTGCCCCACTGTAAGAGAACAGGAAGTTTTGAAACCATTGCAAGCAAATCCAGAGAGCCCGTCATATATGGGTGAAGCAATGTTTTGTGCAGTTTAGAAGTACTTTGGAAGGTTAAGGACCAATAATAATTTTATAAGGGGTGTTGTAAAATCTCTTTGAAACAATCATTAAGCCTTCAACCATGATTGCTTTTTAAAAGCTTAGTAAATAAAGTCAATGAAATTCGCCCCCATGTAAAATGGAAAACGTGTTAATGGGGAAGTTAATAAATACGAACTGAATTAAAATTGCAAGTGGGCAAGCTAAAAATGTCCTCATTATAAGCAAAAGGCTCAGGCAAGGTGTGGGTCCTCCTGTTACGATAGACAGAGATTGTTTCTCTCCTTTGATCCATTACTCCTTCACTATAGCATCTGTGCAGCTACTTCAAACAGAAATGGTGTGCAGGGACACAGTTCCCAGTGGCTCTTTTGCAAGACCCTTTTTCTGTTCTGACTCTGCAAATGGCCAAAAGAAATATCCACCTCAACAATATTGGAAAATGTACGCAAATAAAGTCAATGCACAGCTGAATTGCAAGTCCTGCCTTATAGCTAGTTAAAGTCTCAAGCTTCAAGATGAAATTGTAACCCACAAATGTTATGCATGCAGTTGCAAAATGTATGAACCACTTTTTGCATATTTGCAAGGAATGCAAGTCTGCTGAGACATTTCCCACTCTGCTTTGATCTTCCTGCAGAGAAAGGAGTTGCAGTCCTGTGCTTTGCACCACATCAAAGCCCTTTCCCCTCCCTGCTGAACAGCTGATGGTGAGGAGGGGACCCAGAAGACTTGATGAAATTTGGCTGCCATATCTGGCCTGTGGGTTGGGGTTCCCTACCTCTGCTCTAAAGTGTTCCATTTAAATCAGTTCGTCTGCTGTTGAGTTAAGTGGCTTGGGAATTCCAGTCCCCTTTCTTGACATCAACACGGATACCTTTGAATCTAGCTGGTTGCTAATATTTCCTGGTATAACTGTTGTTCATTATTTCATTTCACCTGAGGTCCAATGCTCCAGTTGCTCATAAATATGTACAACCTCTACTCTTTAGTGTAAGCTGTTATTGATGTCATTCATCTTTTCGTTAAGACCTGTCAGGTGGCATTTATGTTGAAGCGAAGTAGTGTGGAATTACAAGTGCCCTGAAGACTTTGGAGTGCTAAAATTATGAGTGATTTGGGGAGATTATTCCTCACAAGTAAATTTAGTGGGAGATAATACCGCTGCATACAAGAAGAGATCTCTTTCCTGTCAATTCTGTTAAATGTTTCAGTTTTTGAATAAATCTTTGAAGAACATGATGGGCTTTTTTGTCATTTCCCACACTATTTCCCACATCTAATATCTTCCTATCACGGCCGTCAGTGCATTAACATATGCAATGCTGTGCTGCTCTTAGAATATACTTAATTAGCATGTCATGTGCAAACAATGATGATATAGCTGGAGAAGCATGTCCCTTCTAAAGTATCAATGCATCAGCCTGGCGTATTTTATTTAAAAAAGAAAAAGAAAGACTACTGCTATAAGGTGGTCAACTTTAGTTGGGAAGTCAAATTTTCCCTCCAGTTGTTTCCTGAATAGCTCTGAGATGCAACCGTTCTGGGCCGAATATCTCAAAAGACCAAGCCCTTCCAGTTTATAGGAGCTGAGTTCCTCTCAGTTTCAACTTGTTCTGCTTTGTGTTTCAATCTTTATACTAGCATCCTTGTCAATTGAAACACATCCTTGTGGAGAAAGCTCCATGTTACGTTCCTGTACCAACTGTACACTCCACTCACATTTCTTCAGCTCAGAACTACAGAAATGCTATCTGAAATGTATTACAGCTTCTCTGCAGTCCAGTTGAACGTGGATGACTGGACTGTTGGTCCCAGGGCACCGTGGCAAATCATTCCTTGCATGAAGTGATTTCCAGGGACCTCCCTTTGGAGAGCTGAAATGATGCCACAGGCCCTTCGGACCTGCCCAGGAACTAGTGAATGTAGGTTTGAAAGCAACACAAAAGTAAAAGCTTGATCTTTAAAAGCTCGTGGATATGGAACATTAAATTACTTAGTGTCCCTATGCCAGTAGCAGCCATGGTGAAGATCATGAGATTTCTGATGAAAAACCATTCCCGCTCCCCTTGGTCTGATCAAGCTGGCTTGGACATGCCTTCAATGCTGCAGAAAGCATGCATATCTACTGCCTTGATTGGTTTGCAGAGTTTCCCACCACCTTTCTGGCACTCAGTAAGTTTTACAAACGCTCTGGTCCACTATGCATATTTGTGGTTTGGGCGGCCTCCCTACAGAGGCTGCAGCGTATGAAGTCGCTCTTCATTTCCCACCTCCTTGTATCACTTCTGCCTCCCGTGTTCATTCAGCCTGCGTGAGATGGCTGCTTTATGGGTTTAAAATTGTAGCTTAACTTATACAAGCAGAATTCTGAGTCGAAACTGCAGGGAGAGTGGAAATAATTGAAGGTATAGATACTGGTATGCTCAAGAAAGTCTTTTATTCAGGCTAAAGAAACCCTTGCTGATAGCATAAAATAAACTTATTCACTTTAATGCATCCTTCTTGTTGGCTTAAAGCTGAAATACAGTTGCTTGAAAATTAATTTACCTCTCATGAATGGCTGGCTGGATTATCTTTGTAGCATAAAATGTAATGATATGTCAACCCTGAGCTCAGAACACGTTGTGTCTATTGTAAAAAAAAGTTGTTCCTGAGCACTTAATGTTGTGTTAAATGATGATGTGTCCTTTGCAAATGTATTATTAGTGTCAAGCTGTTCCATCTCTCAAGATTGAAAAATGGCCAGTGATTTGAGCTACCATTAAACCTGAATAAAAAAAAAAAGAGAAGAGCTGTGGGGGGTTCCCATGCTCTCTCTTTTGAGTACTAACACTTTGACTATATTCAATATATATCAAAATGTTTCCGTTAGCTGAAGACTCCTAAAACATCTTTAATCACAGCAATTGAAATGGTATTAAAGCAAACCTCTCTTCCTCCCCCCCCCGTGTGTGCCGGGGGTGGGGAGAGCTCTCTATACCAGGGATGTTCATCGTAAGATGTTGCAGAAGACCGCTATGAATGCTGCTTATGTTGCAGTCAATTGGCTTGCTATTAACTTGAGCGATGATGAAATGGGAGCCCTTTTATTTGAAGCAGCACTTTTTTTACAATTGAAATTTTCAATTAATATTCTAAATATCCCAGCTCCTCGTGTGATAGAGCCTTTCGTATCACTTTGTATTAGTTGGAGGGAAATGAGCGCCCTTATTTCCTATTATGCAAAGGAGGGATTTATGGCGCGATAGCGAGCAAACCACTTAACGGCGTCTGGTTGCATGCACGGCCAAACGATTTTTGAAATGCTTTCACGACAAAATGTACATTTTCTACATTCCTACTACTTCCCGGACAACTCCCTCGTCTTAATGCAAAGGTATCAGCGTTATTTATCGTGCCAGCTTGGGAATTAGATTGTGGCTCTTTTGCTTGCTGATTGAATGTAAAATAGTTTCCGCGCTTTCTTGCTTGAGGGACAGCTGAAATTGGCAGGGCCGCGGCAGCACAGTTTAGCTTAGCCCAGGCATTATGGCTAGAGAAAGCAACAGACAGGCTTGCTGGAACAACACCTGTGAAGGCCCTGCAGCTTTCGAATTCCCCTTCCGTGTAGCTTAAATTTATCTCTTTCATACCACATGTTTAAATGGCTGTAATGGAGGATTAGAAAAGAGGGAGAAATACATGTGAGCTTGGCAGTGGGTGATATTGAAGGCACCCAACACTTCTGTAATGCTGTCAATGTTTCCTTCCCCCTCTATCATTTTAAAATATATGTCAAGGTTTAAGGATAGCTGATTCAAAATAAAGGACACTGTGGACATCTAATCTTTCTCTTCTAAGGTTTCAAGGTATTCTGCATGTGGGGCTATTTTTTAAAGGTCAGTTTCTCCTCCTGATGCAGAGATATGCCATCCAGCTTCTGTCTGTGTCTATAAGGCTGTTAGATGGGGGACCTGTCATCTCTTATCATTAGCCATGCTGGCTGGGAGTCGGAATCCAACATCTGGAGAGTCATAGATTGTCCATCCCTACTATACAGGATCCTTTTGAAAGTCCTGATAAGTGGGAAGGTGGTCAGCCACACCTGGATTGGGTTGTGGGTTGCTGTAGATTCTAGTAACGAGGATATTTGAGTTCAGTTCTGCATTTCCTTGCATTTCAGTACCATTTATTATTGTGATGGTACTGAACTATGGGAAAGATATAATGTTTTCGTTTTAGTTGTGGTACCAGCACAAAAATATTCAGGGCAGCAGTTTCTTGGCAGTTACAAATTGGAGAGAAAGCGCTGAAAGGGATTTTAAATCTGTAATGTTGATTTCTTTTACTATCTGTCAGTTTTTGGCATGCAGTAAATAACTCATTTTCAAATAATTTGCCTGTGTAATTAAATTTAGATTGCATACTTCTCCTTTCAAATATTTTGACTCTTTCTTGTCTGCCATTCAATTGTGGCATAATTGGTGCGGTTTGTATAAATGGGCAATAAATTTATGGACTTTTGTTTGAAGATCAGGCAGTGAATAGAACTTGGTAATCATCCCAGGAGGAATTATGATTGAACATGTTTGTGAGAGTTAAAGAACGGAATTTACTTTTGTTTTTGAATTAAAGACAATTAAAGATTTGCAGGCACCCATAAAAGACAATGAATTGAGGAACAAGTTAGAAGCAAGTCCATTTGCAGGTGAAAAGAAACGCCTTTGAATCAGAACCAGCTGTATTTTCTATGAAAGAATGTGCTTGCTTGATAGCATAATGTGCTCCTAAGCAGCTTACGCTTCACAGTAGTCAGAAAATCGGAGTGCATTAATTTTTAAAGTTGCAAATGCAGGGGAAGAGCAACACTGCCTCATGATGATAATGAGGGTGGATATTGGAAAGTCTATGTGTGGGTGGGGGTGGGACATAGAAGGAGCTTCTGAAATGTGAACATTCATAAAACAATAGCCAGGCATACACATGATAATGAGCTTGGACAGCAACACAAACAAAGGGCAAAGATGAAGACCCCATTAATAACTAAAAAGAAGCCCTATACTCTTAGTTGATTGTTTAAGCCCAGTAGTAAACTTTCTACTACTTGGGCTCCATGAACACTGCAGATGGTCACAGCAGTCACGAAATTAAAAGACGCCTGCTCCTTGGGAGAAAGGCAATGGCAAACCTAGACAGCATCTTAAAAAGCAGAGACATCACCTTGCCAACAAAGGTCCGTATAGTTAAAGCCATGGTTTTCCCAGTAGTGATGTATGGAAGTGAGAGCTGGACCATCAAGAAGGCTGATCGCCGAAGAATTGATGCTTTTGAATTATGGTGCTGGAGGAGACTCTTGAGAGTCCCGTGGACTGGAAGAAGATCAAACGTATCCATTCTTAAGGAAATCAGCCCTGAGTGCTCATTGGAAGGACAGATCGTGAAGCTGAGGCTCCAATACTTTGGCCACCTCATGAGAAGAGAAGACTCCCTGGAAAAGACCCTGATGTTGGGAAAGATGGAGGGCACAAGGAGAAGGGGACAACAGAGGACGAGATGGTTGGACAGTGTTCTCGAAGCTACCAGCATGAGGAGGAAAGTGTTCATAGTAAACCTAAAGATTCTGTAAGTCCGGGGTGTCCCACTCAAAGCGGGGTGGTTGCACCATATGCACCAACAGGCCTCACTGGGGTCAGGGGAAGACCATTTCATAGCTGGGGGACCACACCACTAAGACCTTCACCCATGTTCCCACATTGATTCTCTCTTTGTGGTATCGCTCAGAGGAGGCCCTTAGATGGTGACCAAACAGTTCAAAAACCTGCAAAACAGGGATAAGTATACATATGTACCACGAACAGCAGCCAGCACCCCTTTCACGCCACCTTCAGCTCTGAAAATATCCTCCACTATAATTGATGCTAGTTTAAATTAACATGAATTTACATTCCAGCTAGCAATGGTCAAAGGTGTTTGCATTGCTTATATAAACTAGATATTTCAGGTGGCAACTTTTGGGGCGCATATGCCATTTTTGCATTACAGGTGGTTATCTTGGGGATTTTTTTGGGGGGGGGGAGGGGAGTTCAGCTGTTTAAAGAGGTGTTTTTAAAAAGTCCAATACTAAAATGTGGTTTTCATTACCAAGGACTTAACAGATGTCCTTTGTAAATTTTTACACACAGTTGATTCAGACTTGTATTCTCTGGTATGTACTTTCTCTTCTGGCTATAGCATTTAGCAAGGAGAGTGGTAAATTAATGACAGATGCTTTGTTTTGGAGACTTACCAGCTGTAGAGTCATTATTAAAATAGATTGTTTGCAATAAAGAGAGTTTCAGTTGTTAATATCGACTTCAATTTCAGCCTGCAAATATTGTCACTGTTAACTTGCACCGAGGTAAGTTTTAGGGAAACAGTCACATAGATCATCGAATTCAGTTCATTTGAAATCTTAAAGCCACTTTCTCAGACGCAGTCCTATTTCTGCTCATGGTTCTCCTCTGGAATGGGTGGTTGCTAGAATATAATCTTGAAGAGGATCAATAAACTTTCTTTGTTGAGAAATAACTGGTTATTCTTAGGGCATAATAATCAAAAAATAATAATAATCCATTATTGCCTCTACCTTTGATGCCCTCTGATGTGCACTTAATCCATGTCATCTTTACTATGACACAGGTCACATACCACTCCACTTTAACTGCAATTACAGTCATGGGTTTGGTGGAGTTTACATGGTTGCAGAAATGGTAAGGTAAAGGTAAAGGGACCCCTGACCATTAGGTCCAGTCGTGGCCGACTCTGGGGTTGTGCCGCTCATCTCGCTTTATTGGCCGAGGGAGCCGGCATACAGCTTCCGGGTCATGTGGCCAGCATGACTAAGCCGCTTCTGGCGAACCAGAGCAGCGCATAGAAACGCCGTTTACCTTCCCGCCGGAGCGGTACCTATTTATCTACTTGCACTTTGATGTGCTTTCGAACTGCTAGGTTGGCAGGAGCAGGGACCGAGCAACAGGAGCTCACCCTGTCGTGGGGATTCAAACCGCCGACCTTCTGATCGGCAAGTCCTAGGCTCTGTGGTTTAACCCACAGCGCCACCCACGTCCCTTGCGGAAATGGTATCTGCATACAATTGCTCTGCACCACACATTTGCCTCAAAGACGAGTGGCTCATTGAGAGGGCAAGGATGCCTGGCTCTCCATGTTTATGCTTGGAGGGCAAGGGGGATGATCGGTCCATTCCCAAAACTGGTCAAAGCCAAAATTTGCTCTGCCCATCCACTGCACTTTGTAGTTGGCTGCATGGCAAAGCCAGATGAAGTGAATGGTAAAAGTTATTCAGGCAACCGAGGAATAAAATGAGATACGGTTTCCAAGACAGGACAATCAGGTGGTCACTTCACCATCTAGCTAGTTGTAGTGCACATTGGTCTAAAGCCAGAGTGAATTGTTGGTTATGTTTATTAGTTCATTGTCCCTAAAACCCACAAGATAAATTAGATCCTAAACCCAGGGGAAAGATGAACGAACCTCCTTCTAACATTTTATCACCATCTATATCTTCTATATACTTGAGCTCTTCTGCTTTTCACCCATTGCATTTTACACTTCCAAAATATCTACAGTAAGGTTGTACTCAAATTTACTCAGAGGAAATGCCAAGCAAATAGGAGAGCTCATCTACACCATTCCCTCTGCTTTGCCAAAGCTGCACCTATTTAATTTTGGCTGATCTCTAGAAACAGCAGGTCTCTGTGATGTAAATCACGTCTTAGTTGTCCCACCTTTCATTTTCAGTGTAGACATGAGGGTGTATTTCAGACTTTCTGAGATCTTGAAGTGAAACAATTATTTTCCCCTTGTTTTCTTCTTAAAGTCTTATAAATCTGTGTTCAAAGCCCCATGTGAATAAATGTCTGCAGTTTGTTCGCAAGTAAAAGTTTTTAGCAGCTGCATGTCTTAGTTGAAATTGGCTCCAAACAGTATTACAGGTTCAGATATATTTTTAAGCCAAGTTTCACCCTGGAGTGAATTTTTACGAGCATATAAACTCAGTCAATTCATAATGGAAATTCTGACAGGTCCTTTACTATTGCATAGCACATGGTAATATCATAATGACTGGCGGGGAGCTCTAGTCATGTAAACTCTTTCCCCCTTATTCCACGATGACCATACTTTCCTCTGAGAAAAGAACAATTTTTCCCATGCATTAGACTTTAAAATCTCCACCGCTCCTCTGGTATAGTACAGATCACCAGAGAAATCCATCTTGAGTCTCCTCAGTAAGGAAAATGTTTCCCCTAATCGTAGATTTTTTTTTTTTAAGGACTGGGAGCCGCTTAAAAACAACAACAATAACAACTTGCACCTCCAATAACCAGAGAGAAAACATAAGCCCTGTTTATGTGTTACTCACATGTAGAGCATGTGTTTGTGCAGTGAGGGGTGAGGCCGTGATTTTATTCCTGCTCCCAGTGTCATAAGAACATAAGAGTCTGCCGAATTAGCTCAATGGCCCATCTAGTCCAGCATTCTGTTCTTACAGTGGCCAACCAGATGCCTGTGGCGAACCCTCAAGTAAGATCCAAGCACTAGAGCACTCTCCCCTCCTGTGGTTTCCAGCAGCCGGTATTGAAGTTGCCCAGCCCTCTTTTAAAGCCATCCAAGTTGGTGACCATCACTGCCTCCTGTGGGAGTTCCATAGTTCACCTATGCAATGTCCCATCTCCTCCCCATCCCTTCCGAAGCAACCACATGTTGGGCACAGTTGTAGGACAAGAAAGCTCTTGCGCAGGAAGAGTAGGAGCACCGTGCAACCGGGAGACCAAAGCGTCATCCAGGCATTTCCCTGAACGCACACTGGGATTGGGGTGTGGCGTACATCTTTTGTAGATTCATCCACATTCTGCCCCAAGTCATCTGTAAGCATGCACAACTGGAGGGGCAAGGCAAGTTGCCTCGGTTGGGCAAAGGGGATAAGTTCCTTCTTTGCCCACTCATCAAATATGGTGGTGGTGGTGGGGCTTCATTTGCCCTCAGTGACATCATCCTATAGCCATGTCTAATTAGCTATATGGCTACATGGCTTTATAATGTTCACCACATGCTCCCTGATGGTCACACCACACATAGCTCCTCCCCCCTCTAGCACAGAAAGCTGGGAACTGTAGTTTTCCCTTCATAGAGGTTTAATTCTCAGCACCCTTACAGTTCCCAGGATTCTTTGGGGTAGTCATGTGCTTTAAATCTAAGATGTGGATCTGCCCATAAGAGTGAAAAAGCCCTTTCGAGGTTGGTTTGTTGCTCTATTTTGGCACTCAGGCCACAGCAGAGCAGGAAAACCAAAAAGGCAGTAAAAATGTGCTTAAGTATGGAAGGTAAGTTCCCCCCCCCCTTCCCGAAACAGTAACTTTAGCAGCAGAAACCAAACCTCGCAAGCAATGGCCTAGCAGTAGTCCTGAATGCATTTGCTTAAGATCAGAGCCCTTAATGACTACAAGGCTGCAAAGTATAGCTTTCAGCTAATCTAACACTGATCGGCCGGCCAGCCGCCATAATGCAGTCTTGTGACATGAGGCATGAAAAGGGATACTGTGAAAACAATTTCAACATGGCCAAAACCTGTTATTACTAGGCAGGAAGTGCTTTTTATTTTTTCTAGAACTGAATTTGGGTGTACGCCTAATAACCTTCCAATTTACAAGCGGAGTGGTTACGAACTCTTGAAAATTGTCTCAGAAAAAGTAAGAGTTTTATCTTATGCCTAATTAACCCCACAACCCATGCAAATACTATGCACAATTGTTCTCAATTGCGTCAAACGTTTCTCATCATGGGCTTTCCCTTTTTAATTTTCTACATTGGATGTGGCATGATGTGGCGTAGCAACAGTCTTTTAGGCTGCCCATTTGTAAATAATAAATTGCTCAAATTATACTGTCATATGTATTCGCTATTAGAGCAAATATTTCAAAGTTTGTCACTCTGCAAGCAGCTCTAACATACAGTGGTCTTTTTGTGCTTTGTAAAGGAAAATTTGGATATGCTGCAGACATTAAAATAATTGTCCCTCATTTACCATGGAGTGTTTTCAGTAACTGTTTTTTCTCTCTCCCTCCGTCAATAGGAAAACAAGATTACAAGAAAACCAGGCCAATGTTAAAAGCAACAAGATTAAAAGCAGAGGCCAAGAAAACTGCGCCAGGCATGAAGGTATATCTAACTGATAGCTTACACCAACATCCTAGAGATGTTGAGTTTCTTTTCCCCATAGATGTCCTGTGTGAATATTGATCTTTGAAAGATATTGTTTATGACACTTCAAAACCCTAAGTGGAATGCCAGGATCTAAAATATTCATGACTGATTTCTTTTGCGTTAACCTACAGCCAAGATGGAATAACTGAAACTCGGAGGCTGCAATCTGACACGGCTCTGCTTAGGAATCAGTCCCATTTTGTTATTTATGAATTAAGCTTCAGTTTACCTATTTTTAAGATCTCTTGCCCCTACGCCGCCATAAAGTCCCAGGGCGAGTTGCAACGATGAAATATGCAATTGTAGAACCATTCCAGTTATAAAACATGGAAAGCCATTCCAAAGGCAACAGATGGGTATAAATTCAACAAAAGAGATGGGTCCCACCAAACAAAATACCTTCACTGTCAAAGGCCAGGGTGAAGAGTTCTCAGTGAAATCTGTGCAGTGAAGATCTACTTAGGGTCTGCTACGAAAAACCCCTTCTTCAGTGATGCCATCCTCTCCTTGTCTATGCAGGGTGCATAGAATAAAGCTGCAAAGTAATTTTGATAGGCAGCATTTTTATTTTATTTTTAAAAAGCTTCTTGTCAACTACTGTGTGTCATGGAATACTTTTTTAAAACAACTCCCATAGGCAGACAGTGAATGTTTTACAGCATAGAATAATAGACTTGGAGAACTGGAAGGGACCATGAGGATCATCTAGTCCACCCCCCTGCAATGCAGGAATCTTTTGCACAATGTGGGGTTCAAACCCACGACACCGAGGTGAAGACTCTCATGCTCTACCAAATGAACTATCCCAGTTTGGCTCATATCTATTCAGCAGTAAGTCCCAGCAGGCCATAATCCCAAAGAACCGTGCGTAGGATTGTAGCCTTCATTATTATTGCACATCAGTGCTTTCTTTGGTTAAAAACCCCACAATGCCCCGGTACCCATGCTTTGATAAAAGTGCCATGGGGGCCAGCACAAAATGGCTTCCGCAAGACAGCAAAATATGAGGTGCCGGAACTCCTAACTATTGTAGTGAGTACCAGAAGCTCCATCTTCTGAACCAAATTGAAGGACCCTGATGCAGGGTTTTGACCACGCGTGTGTGATGTTGCACAATGTATTGACACCACATGAGCTACATTACGTGATGTCCTAATGTCCCTCTGTGCCCAGTTTTTACAATGGAAGGGACCATCCCCCTCAAAAAAACCATAGAGGGGGCCAATAGTGCCTCAGCCCCCGGGAGCCAGCGTGTATGGCAAGTACTGTTACCCACCCACCCACACACACACACACAGAACCCTGACTGTTGACCATGATGGAATTTTTTGTATAGATGTTACTGTAAATGGTCATAGTTTTGTCATAAATACACACAGTGGTACCTCGGGTTAAGTACTTAATTCCTTCTGGAGGTCCATTCTTAACCTGAAACTGTTCTTAACCTGAAGCACCACTTTAGCTAATGGGGCCTCCTGCTGCCGCCACGCCGCCAGAACATGATTTCTGTTCTCATCCTGAAGCAAAATTCTTAACCCGAGGTACTATTTCTGGGTTAGTGGAGTCTGTAACCTGAAACGTATGTAACCTGATGCGTATGTAACCCGAGGTACCACTGTATAACTGATATCCAGCCTACAGTTTTCATCTTTCTGTCCAGCGTGGAAAACGATTGCCTTCTCTTATGACCCAGCAAGGAAGCTGGTGGACTCAAAATTAGTTTGGAACTTCCTGTTTTTAAAGCTTAAAGAAAGGAAGGAGAACAAGTGAAGGTAATAAATAATAATTTGAAGGATATTTATAATATTTTCACACCCACACATGACCCTGTCGTAGAGTTTGGCTAAACATATGTAGTTTGTTTAAATTGCTTCCAATACTTTCCTCTCGATTTATTTTTGGTTCAAAATAAATTAACATAAAATCAGCTTAGCAACCCATGCTGAGGGAAGGATGCAGATCAGGAAAAATAGATGCAAAAATGAGCTATTCCTAATGAGAAGAATGTCAGTAATGTTCAAAGAAGTACATTTCCTTGTTTCTGGCAGATGAGAAATCAATTCCCCCCTCCCCAAGTTATAGCTTACAGCAAATGGCAAGGTATTACTACCATGCTGTAACAGCTGTTGAGCCGCCAGATGATGTATTTGGTTGTCTTCCAAAATTTGCTATTATAATCACGAAACAGTGGTTTCTTTTCGCTCTCTGATAGCTGATCTCGATCAAGCATTGCCACGCAATGTGGTCTGCTTTCACAACATCGTCTCCTCAGTTAGTGCAGTGTGTCAGGTTTTAATGGGGAAAAAATAGATTGCCATTTTTGTTGTTTGTTTAAAAGGCAGATTATTAACCTATCAAGTTATGCAATTTTCTCTGTCCCTTTCTGATTTAATTTTACGTTTCTGATTTAATTTTACATCGTAGAAGGGGCCACAAGGGTCATCTAGTTCAACCCCCGGCAATGCAGATATATTTTGTCGAATATGGGGCTCAAACCCACAACCCTGAGATTAAGAGTCTCATGATCCACCAACTGAGCTATCCGGACAAGTGGCCTCACAGCATAGAGTTGAGGATAGCCTCAAACAATGCATACACTGGAGGCTTGGATTCATTTGTTCATTCTTTAGATTTGTATAGCGCTTTTCCACACAAAAAATCATGCACAAAGTGGTTTACAAAACAACAGCAACAACACAGGAACACATTTCAAACGCTACAAAAACAATTTCATAACAACACAGCCAAGTAACATAGTAACAGTTTCATACTAACATAGCCAAACAATAGCATAGTAACAATTTCATAATTACAAAGCAGAACAATATCAAATATAACATGAACAACATATAAAGAATTTCCAGCAGAGCTGCTGGGAAAGAACTATTTTTCAGCTTCAGTTGCCATCTGTAAAATAGGTGTACTTTACCCTGGCTAGATGATGGTAGTTAAGATAAAGATTGTGCAGCGTGTGGCATGTGAAAAGTGCTATGCAAATTGTTAATGAGAGTAAAAGGAAATCTTGCAGAAGCAGAATTATACTTCAGTGTTGTGTTTTCAGTGTTGAAGCATAGGGTTGAGTCACATATGCACACTCACACGATTTCTGGACACTTGATTGTACAACTTGGTTGGCAACTGACTAAGAAGCAAGCTTCTTGAAGTACTGATGTAAAGTCAAAGCATTGTTTAGTGTTGCATGAGCAAGCCATTTCCTTATGTCTCTGCCCTCATGTTCTCAGGTTCAGTTAGTTGTGTCCAGATGAGAGCAAAATATAAGTTACCTTCTGCCAACCTAGTAGTTCGAAAGCATACCAGTTCAGGTAGAGAAATAGGTACCACTGTGGTGGGAAGGTAAACGGTGTTTCCGTGCGCTCTGGCTTCCATCAAGTGTCCTGTTGCACCAGAAGCGGTTCAGTAATACTGGCCACAAGACCCAGAAAACTGTCTGCAGATGAACTCTGGCTCCCTGGGCCTGAAAAATGAGCTGAGTGCTGCACCCCATAGTCACCTTTGAGTGGACTTAACCGCCCAGGGGTTCTTTACCTTTACCTATAAGTTACCTTGACATCAAAACCTGGAAAATAATGGTTTATACTTGCCCTCTAAACCAGAATTGCAAAGCATGGCTTGGTTATGTTTTAGCTCTTTGGAGTATAAGGAAGGAGAAACAGCTTATTAGTTTGGATATTGTAGCAAAGTACAGTTTGTGTTAAAGAGGAAATAACTGGATATGAGTAACTAAAAAGAGGAGGAAGTAGAAGGAGGGCGGATGTAAGCCTGTAGCATGTTCTTGGTTCTTGAAACTTCGCTTTGGGAGACTGGGAATGTTGCATTTGAACCAACTTGCTGTGATATGAAAGTCTAGCCAATGGGTTAATCCAAACAGTCTCTAAATTCAGCAGTCGCTTGTATCTTAAATTCAACTCCCACAATGCACGTTAGCTCATACAACCTGTGCAAGGACCTGGGTATCCTTGCATCATCATCATCATGATCATCATCATAATTTTTGTTTATACCCTGCGCGTCTGGCTGGGTTTCCCCAGCCACTCTGAGCGGCTTACACCAAATAAAAAATTGTAAAACATCAGACATTAAATTTTTTCTGATACAGGGCTGCCTTCAGATGTCTTCTAAAAGTCAGATAGTTGTTTATTTCCTTGACATCTGATGGGAGGGCGTTCCACAGGGCAGGCACCACTAATGAGAAGGCCCTCTGCCTGGTTCCCTTTAACCTCACTTCTCGCAGGGAGGGAACCACCAGAAGGCCCTCGGAGCTGGACCTCAGTGTCCGGGCAGAACAGTGGTGTGAAATCGAATGCCTGCGACCTAAATGCCAGTTTCAGGGCTTTGCATTCTCTGCCAGCATGCCAGTACAATATTTCCATGGACTATATTTATAAGCAAGCTGTGGTAACATATACATAATTTGCATTCATTTTCCTATCTATACTGAAGGAAATAGCCATACTGAAGATTCATCACATTTGAGGCAGCAGTAAGTTGAAGCAGTAGAAACTGGACATATTAAGAATAAGGTAGAATATTTAGGGGCTTAATACAAAGTTTTTTTAGATTTGGGGGGCACAGAAGATCAATTCAGCTTAGAACGACATTTTGATTTCATGGAATTTCAGAAACACTAATTTAATTAAACATTATTCTTAAAATAATAATAATCTTAATTATTGCTTATTTTTCTATTATTTACCCAGGTAGACAGGTTGAGTTTTCACCAGGGATGCATTTTACACAAACTTTGCTCTTTCAAAAAAATGTATGGTTCCCCCCTTACTTCAAAACGGGCCCTAAACTTTTCTAAACCAACCCCAGTAGGGTACTTTTAATTTCAAAACTGGCATGCTAATTAGCCTATCCTGTCACATTTTGATTGCCTATCATTTTTATGCTGGATTGAAAGTAACAAACTTTCATTTAGTCACTGCCATTTAATACTTTTTTAATTTCCCCAATGAGTGATTTTTATCTTTTGTTGATAATGTCAACACAGTAACTTGTGGGCAATAAATATCCAGTGTTTTTGACTCTGTGTTGTTGAAGCAGGATGACTGTGGTAGACTGCAGAATTTATGTGCTTTCCTATGTCTATTAAAACCTCTCCATGCGTAAATAGTTTTCCTGTTAAAAGAAAGGCATTAGGCCAGTGGCCTGTCAAGTCCAGATGTCTGTGGGAAGCCCACAAGCAGAAACTGAGTGCATCAGCCCCCTCTTCACTTCTGATTCCAAGCAAACTGGTATTCAGAGGCTTACTGCCTCCAGCAGCGAAGGTAGAACACAGCCATCTCTTCTAACTCCCATTTCCCTCAGCTCCTTGGTCTTCCTTCTGATAAAAGTTAGTTTAAGCAAAGGATCTGCCCAATCTGCAAAGACAGATGCAAAGGATTCATCCAGCTACTCTGCAAACTCCTTATCTTATGCTGAAAATCAGAAACGATTTTCTGTTACTCAACAAAAAATTAAGAGTCACTATCCTTACTGTGAATTTCTTCAGTTCTATCATAAAGGTAAAGGTAAGGAGACCCCTGACCATTAGGTCCGTTCGTGGCCGACTCTGGGGTTGCGGCGCTCATCTCGCTTTATTGGCTGAGGGAGCCAGTGTATAGCTTCCGGGTCATGTGGCCAGCATGACTAAGCTGCTTCTGGCAAACCAGAGTGGCACATGGAAACGCCGTTTACCTTCCCGCTGAAGCGGTACCTATTTATCTACTTGCACTTCGATGTGCTTTTGAACTGCTAGGTTGACAGGAGCAGGGACCGAGCAACGGGAGCTCACCCTGTCGCGGGGATTCGAACCGCCGACCTTCTGATCGGCAAGCCCTAGGCTCTGTGGTTTAACCCACAGCGCCACCCACGTCCCTTACAGTTCTATCATACAGTTCTATCATACTTTCCCCTTAAAAACAAGCAGTGCTTGTTACATAGGGTAGAATCCAATGGTGATTGTCAGCTGCCAGAAGGGAATTTGTCAGCAGAAAAATGAGGGAGGCCATTTTTGGCAAGAACTTCCTCCTGCAGTGACCTAAATGTGTTCTGGATTACCCTCTAACCTTCTGGAGTATAGCAGATCCCCCCCCTTTTTTTTTGACAAAGTAAAGAGAAGGGGACTCTTTCCTTCCTTCTCTATTGCCCCTAATTATCAGATTGCAGGAAAGAAGAAGCTGAGGAGGAGAGCAAGTAATGATAGAAGAAATCAGAAGACTACAAACAACCCAGAGAGTGGGGAACCACCTGAGGTCATCCTGCCCAGGACCCCCTTAAGCAGTATTGCTGGGCCCAGATAGGTCTAGGAGCACAACTGTAGTAGATACAAGAAAATGAATGAATTCTGCCTTATATGACCATTGCATTTTGACATAGAGAAGATGTGTGCCTGCAGTCCCCCATCTCTTGCTTTCTTTTTTATTCCCATCTCTTTCTGAAAACAAATTTTACATAGCTCTTTTCTTTGAAATTCCGTTAGATAAAACCAAGAGAAGATCCCAACCTGATGATCCTTATAATTATGGGTTGGGAACAAAAGCACGCCAACAGTTTTTAAATGGCGCTGTTGTTTTTCCAAACCTGTGAGTCGCATTATTTGTGTGGAAAAGGAAATTTGTGCTACCTGCAGAATGACAATCCACTGAGAAATCTTCGCCCCAAGAAGCGATAATATTTGAAAAGTGTATGCGGTGGCATATACTGAATTATGGATATGAAATACTGATAAAATATAAAGCGGATTCATGTAAATGCAAATGAAGTGTGTTCCAGAGGAGTTTGCGATGGGGGAGAGAATTGACAGAGGAACGTTAACTCTTTCTCGGGATGACACTGTTTTGCTTTCTCTCTGACGCGAGTACTTTCAGAAGTGCTTGCAGAGAGAGAACTTGCATGCTACGTGAAAATCATTAAATCCAGCTCGAAGATATAAAGTAGGCTCGAGTTACACAATGTGCAAACACATGTGTGAGAGAGAGGCCTTAATTATGTATGCCGTTCAAATGGGGAAGACGCCCTCCCAAAGGCCTCACTTATGCATGTCCACCCTAGAGCCAGTCCTTGTTGTGTCAGGTCACAGCCTTCCAGCATTAGATGAAACTGCCTGGTGAAATGGCTCTTAGCTTTAAATAGTCTTTTCAGAAGGTGGAAGAGCCCTGGTCTTTGTCCACCTGCCCCACGTTCTTCCTACAGTAAGTTTGAGACACGAGCTATAATTTAGAGAGCTGTAAAGCTCATTTTACAGAATAAGTTCCAAGTGCCTGGGGGGGGGGGGTTTCCTTAACATTTTTTTTTAATCGGTATGGTAGGTTGCTTCCCAGCTCCCAGAAAAGATAGGGAACTTTCAAAGTTCACACATATTCACTTGGATACCTTTAAAGTACTCTGTGAATTCTGTCCCTCTTCAGAGTCCTGGGCAAAAAGCTTGCTAAGCCTGTTATACAGTCATCTTTCTTCTTTAGCCTCATGGTCACCAGATTCAGTTCTGATAACCAGACTAGAAGCGACATTAAATGCACTTTTAAAAAATGTGCAGTTTAAAAAAAAAGGGGGGGGGGAGAGATTTGAACAAGATTAAGACCACAGTGGGTAAAGAGAGAGAAATGAAGCCTTTGCTTCTGCTGTGATTCCAGTGAAAAGCCCCTTCTCCACCCCAGTGATTGGTCCTGTTGGCCTTAATAGAAGTTGTTGGCCAAAGCAGTAGCTTGAGGGGTGGGGGTTGTCATCAGATTTGTGGCAGGGGGAAAGGGATTGAATTCCTCACCTACAAAAAACCCGTGCTGTTCTTCATCCCCACAGCTATTTACACTAATAAAGATGTGTGTGTTACACATAAGAAATGCATTAATATCACACCTGCTTTAGCCCTTACTGTTAATGCATGTTAACCACCGAATCATAGAATTGTAGAGTTGGAAGGGACCCATCCATGACAGATGGCCATCCAGCTTCTGCTTAAAAACTTCCAAGGAAGGCGAGTGCACTACCTCCGAAGGGAGACTGTTGCTGTCAGGAAGTTCTTCCTGATGTTTAGTCGGAATCTCCTTTCTTGTCGCTTGATGCCTCCAGAGCAGGAGAAAACAAGTTTGCTCCATCTTCCATGTGAAAGCCCTTTAGAAATTTGAAGATCATGGGGAAGGTTAGGTTTGCTCATGTGGTAAAACAAACCAAGAAACCAAAAGTCGCCTTCAGTTTGGATTATATCATTATTTGGTCAGGGTGTTTGTTCACGGTTGTTGTTTTTTAAAGTGTATTTGGACATTGGTTAAGTAAACTGTGGGGCCTTGCATTCCTACCATGATAATTTACAATGTGTTGAGTAAATTGCATACAATGTTAATGTATTTATGAATGAAAAATGTCATTTGTTCTTAATTAAACTGAAATGATGGCATGTCTAACTCCCCCCCCCCCAATCTTATCATTGCTACAGGAAGTCAGCCTCATCCTTGGAGCTATATTGGTATTTCTGGTGGCATGTTATGCTTTCTTTTATCTTAACCTGTCCGAAGAGGTTGACCTTGAACTGGATCAAGATGAAAACTAGCAGATGTCTTTTTTGCAAGTTTTTTTTTTTTCTAGAAAAGAAGATGATGATGAACAAGCCGTCTCTTCACGGAGGTGGCCATAACTTGAACAAGTTCCTGAACTTTGGAAACTTTTGACACTCATGGGAATATTGTAGCAAGGCTTACGGGTTTTAATGATGAAGCCCGCTGACCAAACCTCTGTTATTCAACCTGGCTTATTGAATGATATAGACCCTTTTCATAGTTTGTTTCATAATTTGAGCTGATTCTGGAATACAATTTCCTACATTTATGAGCATTACCATGTTGGAGGGCAGACTCTGATTTCCCTGGACTCATCTTGGAATTAATTTGTTATTTTCAAAGGATGGCAACAAGTAGAATTCACAAAAACAAGACAAACCGAAACCAAATAGGATGGAACTGGATGAAGTTACATTGTCTGTGCTGTCTGTGGGCATGCTTCTATTATTAAGAATGTTAAGTTGCATTAAAGGCAGTAGGAAAGGTTCAAGCATATGTTTAATTCTTAGACTAATACCAGTGAGAATTTAAATGTGCTTAACTATAGCTGGATCATACCCAGTAATTAGTGAGAGCAAGTATTAGTATGCCAAAGTTTACTTTGACATTGCAAGCAAAAAGTGTAGACAAGCTGGAGAAGAGGGATTCGACCACACCAGCACAGTCTTCTCCGTATCAATGCATCAAGTGTACCCTCTTGCACCATTGGGCATGATGCTGCACGTAGGTTGCATTGATTATTGATTTCAGTGAGAGAGTAAAACGTGCTTAAATCCCATTCAGAATAAGGAGATTGTAAAATGCTGAATGTTGGCTGGAAGACGGTCATTGTTACTAACTGCAAAACAGCCCAATGCCAAGATCCAGAGCTCAAAAGAGTCCAGAGGATGCTAAGCAGGACAGCACAATTTATGGACAATTCACGAATAGGTAAGGCCTATTGAGTTCAATTGGACTTGTTCCCAGATAGGCGTGTATAGGATTGCAGCCTAGGTTGGTTGCAACCTCTGCAAGTGTCAATATCAAACAAGCAGTCTTAATTCATGGGGATTTTTAAAAACTAATTTGCAAAGATCACCTTGAATTAACCACCTCGAGTTTCCATTTGCAAAGCAGATTTTAACCGAGAAAATAATTAAAGGTAATTTATGGTATTGGCCTACAAGTTGATATACTTGGATTTATTACCTAACAGCAAATTAAACTGTGCTCAAGTATAGCTATCAGTAAGAGAACCAAGAACCAGACGAGAGGTGTAATCAAATATTTTAAGATTGGAGCTAATGGAAACAGACGGGTCACTACACTGCTCTTCCCTCTCCCAGTGGGACCTACGTCTACCATCAAAGCATTTTCTGCTGTGGCTTTCAATGGATGTTTGTATAGAATATGGAGAGCCTCGACTCAGTAAAAGCTACTTGGAGTCAACTATGATCAAACTCTACGATCCAGAGCTTCCAAATTATCAAGAGTTGCCAGAAGAAACACTTCCCAAATAAGCATGCTTTAATAATTTGTAATTGTAGCACAGCTAGACATAGAATCACACGGCAAACCTCTCTGTTTAGAAGAACCCTTCTATTCCTTTTTTTTAAAAAAAAAAAAATATTTTGGTGCAAGTTTATTTTCAGTGTCACCCTGGCTCCTTTGTGCATATATATCAGCAGTCATCTTTTTCATTCATTGCCAACTGTTCAAGGCACATGTGTTCTGTCAGAAATGGCACCTGGATGACAGAAGCTCAAGCATTCACATATGCCTCTGAAGCAGAGTTCCTTGCCTCTTGGGCTATCTTAACGAATGTAAATAGAAAGTTCAGTCGATGTTGATTTTAATTAGCGCATTGCTTCATTAATATAAAGTTGAAATTCTGTTTTAATTATACCATTGCTGCTCCTGCAATATCAACATGGAAGATACATGGTTGCTGGTTGTTTTTTTGTTTTAAAAAAAATCTCTTTGGCAATTAGGCAGTCATTTTTCATAAGTTCAAATAACGGTTAGCAAACCTTTTCCATACAAATTCCCAGTAAATTTGAAACATCCTGGCTCCTTAATACTTTCTTGTATGATACAATTCTAAATATAATGTATAAGGTTCCCCCCCCCAACCTCAGTTCCAAGGAAAAATAGATAATACAAAAAATGCATCTGAGTATATGATAAGGTCTGCATTTAAAAAAAAAAATTGTGATGAATTTGTGCAGATTTGATGGTTGGGAAATTTATGATGCTGTTTACATGGTTCGTTCATTTTAATGGGGCATCAGAGAAGCCCTTGTGCTGATTAGGATATGGAAGTTTAATAGAGAATTGTTTGGTATGTTTATTGAAGCCTTGAAATTCATTTTAACATCCTAACCATAAAGCTACTCTGCTCAGTCTGTGGACCAAATCATAGGTGTTTCTTTCGCTGTTGTTTGTCATAAAGATTTTGAAAGTCAACCATTGTAATGCGTCCAAGTTGAAAGACATAACATGAAAACATTCCAAAAACAGGAAACACAATGCAGATCAATCCAAAATGAAAAATTGGTCACTTTACATGTAAAGTTTTACTTCTTCTGGCAGAATAATTCAGGTTTTTTATGACTAAAGAAATGATAATATGGTACTTGACTGAAATTGCAAAAAAAGAGAGCGGTAGTGTTGGAAATGCTTCCTGGCATTTTTTTTTGTAGTGAATTCTGCTTGTAATTGTGAGAATGAAATTGGCAAATGAATAAACTGGCTATGATTATTTGTGTACTTTCCCCTCTCAACGGAACAATAAACAAACCGGGGTCTGGTTCATGCAACTTGGAGAACCGGCACCATCATTGCACTTTGGCACCCAGCCTGCATGGGGGAAGAATTATGAGATCAAGTGTTTGCACAGTGCACTAGTGAAGTTCTCTGTATGGTGGAGGCAGTGTTGTCTCTTGAGTTGGGACCCCTTTCTCTGTGGTCCTTCCTTTTCCTCTCCAATGCACCACTGCCCACTTGCTTTTCTGCACACCAGCCTGACAGTGAGCCCAAGGGAAATGGATGTTGCTTCTCCATCTCCTCCCTTTTGTCATTGCTTGCATGCCAGAGAGGGCAGGTGAACAGGCAGGACTAGCAAGGAGGAAGAGTAGCAGAACCAAGCAGTTTCAGAGCATAATAGTGCTCCAAGGACTGTGGGCCATGTCAAATGCCTAGCAATTCCCATTCCTGACACCAGCTTTTTATGGAATGGGAGTGGAGGGGTGTTTGCTTGTTCCTTTACCCAGTGCTTTTTTTTTCTTTAAAAATGTTTAGGGGTACTCTCATTTTGACTCAAGAAAATCACCATCTTATAGTTCAAATCAGGAAAAATAAATGCAGCAAATGGACAAAAGTACAAAGATTCACAAAATGTTTAGGGGTCTGCGTCCCCTCAGAAAAAAGCACTGCCTTTATCACATACCACTAGTCTGTTAAGTTGTGTGAACTGTACTTAAATCAGAAAAAAGAATATTGTGAATGCATATCCTTTTATGTGACCATTTAATTTAACCTCAGTGTGCCATGTTTTATATAATAACATATAGATTTAAAACGTTACCAAGAATGGGAAAAGGAACCTTATATGGCATGTCAGTGCCCTTAACGAGTACCATTCTCTGCTAATGTTTACTGAATCCCAAATTTGGGAAGAGACAGCCAAAACGTTAGGTTCCAATGTCTCTCAAACAGATGCCTCAGCATTATTTTGTAGCTTGCTTGGATGAATAAACATGCACAACTGTGAAATGTTACATTGTAGGAGCCTTTTTATTTTTTAAAAATGGGCCAATCTGTTTACTGTCCCCAGTTGAGACAACAGTATCAGTTATTGCCAGTTTGGGCGGCGCTGCAATTACCAGTACCAGACAAGTACATGGGAGCTGCAGTAGCCTGTAAATAAGGTTACCAGTTTTTTTTTTTTAATGAATCTGGGGACACTTTTCAACTTCAGTCAGAATGGATGGATTTTGTCAGGGGACTGATTTGTAAATCCAGGGACTGTCCCCGGGAAACGGGGACATCTGGTAACCTTACCGTAAAACTTGTAACTTTCGGGACTATTGTATAATTGTATTCAGTTTGTTTTGCATGTTAAATCAAAGACAAACATATAATTATTAAAACACTGTCCTATTTTCCCCCTCTCTGTGTTTACCTCACGCACCCTAAATAATTTTTAACTTGGTGAAATTGTGGAGGTGAATTCAAGTATCAGCATTCCACTTTACTCCCCCCAAATAGGGATTGCTAAGGCTTCAATCCGAAGGACACATATCGGGAAGAAAGTTGAACTGAACTTGGTGGAACATACCTCTAGTAAACATGCTTGGAGGGTCAAAGTGTTTAGACTATATATCAGCCAACAGCCAGTTATGGTTGGATCTATAGATATCTGGAAAAGAACTTAGGAAGGGAAACTTGCCTTGTGGTTTTAGACAGAAGCCTTGTAAATAAGTCCACAAGTTTCTTGACCAAAAAATAATAGATAAACCATTTCACCTATTTGAACTTGACTCTATTAAGTCATTTGTAACATACAGTACCTGTAATGTTAAAAGGGAGGGGACATAGGACACTGCCTTCCACTGAGTCAGATCATTGGTCCATATAGTCAGTATTGCCTGTATTGATTGGCAGAAGTTCTCCAGGGTTTTAGTCAGAAGTCTCTCAACCCTACTCTCAACTGAATCTGGGTCATTCTGCATGTAGTACAGATGTTCTACCACGGATCTTTGGCCCTTCCCCCAGAAAAGAGCCACCCCTGCTAATTTTCAAATGGTCCCTAGCATCTCACCTGAGGGTAACGAATGATCCACTGAGTGATTGTTTACACATCTCTGAATATTAGCATTTGGGAAGTTTATTTCCTGGACAATTTGAAGTGGTGGCTCTCTCACTGAATGGAGGATAAACCTTTTAATGTAATTGTAAGTGTTATTCCTAAGACCTTAATGGGTCAAGAGCTTGTGACTTCATCTCAGCATTCCTGGGGGGCAGCGGCGGTCAGCACCCACACTTTGAGAAATCACATGTGTTAACAAATACTGGCAAGGCCTGCCAAACTCTGCCCCCAATTGGTACAACAATACTCCCCAAAGAGAGTGCATTCTCCTAGTACTTCGAGAAACCCTTTTCCGGGACCACTGTTGCAACCAAGTATTTCTTTGGAAACATTTAATGAGCTCTTAACAGACATTATGGAGCCCAGTAAGGAAATGGATTTATTCATTTATGGATTCAAGCAATGAAACAGTGGTTAATAGACATGTTAGAGCTGAAGTTCTCAAGCCATTTATCCTGGAGTACTCTTTATCCCAGAGTACATTTATCCTGGAGTACCCTGTACTCTACAGTGTGACAGCTGCACATTGAGTTTCCATGTTTACAAAATTGATTTCTTCATGAATTCTGAAGCCAAACACTCAGTTTACCACGGCATCTTTTTGCAGCGCAATAGGGGACCTGCTGGAAGTTGCACTTAAATTAGTGTGCCTTGCTTTCCTGGAGTAAGCTCTCGATGACAAATAGATTGTCAGATTGAGATACACCTCTATAGATCAGCTTTCTGAAGGCATTAGCTCCTGAAATGACACCGGGCAGAGGCAAAAAAACAACATCCAATTATAAGGAAATCTCCTCTCAGGATAGGTTGCCAACATTTTGGGTTCATTATTAGATTTAATAATGCTACGAAAGAGCCCTGGAACTCTCGAGTTTTATTTATCGCAACTCGGTGGCATTTGAGGAAGAGGCGATGCGGCACAAAGGTAAAGAATTGCCAGAGAAGAGCAGCTTGAGAATGGCTAAGATTAATGAACAGATAAAGACACATATGATTGCCTGCCTTTCCAGAACAAGCAGCTACCAGCTCATTAAGCCGGTGAGAACTCTTGAGACAGTTGTTACAAACAGCCTTGCTTTGAGCAGGAAATAGTGGCATCTCAGTTCACATTTATAAAGGCTTCTGGCATGACAGCAAGGGGAAAGCCTTAAAGGATGGCACATTTCTGCCAGAACGTGTGTGCTTGAAGGTGAGCCTAAGGAATGGTTGTTTCAAGGGGGAAATGCCTTTTCTAGCAAACTTGTTCCAATAATCATCATAACAACATAATTTTGTATATATAGTAACCAATTACAAACACATTCCACAGTAAATTATCCGTATCAGATAAACACACAATCCTTCGCAACAATTTATTACAGTACTTTTTTTTATAAAAAAGTATTTTGTTATTACCTTCCTATACTGTAGTTAAAATCACTTAACCCCCCCCCTTGATTAACATTTAACTCATTTACACTCTTTAGCATGAACAAGGAATAGTGCAGCTGATGTGTTTTCTTGAGGCAATGTTGGTGTCAGCTTTTAGACTACAGAACTTTTCACAAGCAGAGCAGAAATGTGCATAACTCCCAGGCATGTGAATAGTGAGGTGGGTGACCTGAAGGATTTGGAGAAAGAGTGTGATACAGATGTGAGCAATTCAAAAATAGATGCATGTACATAAATTTGACTTGAGGGCATACACAGTGAGGCCATAGCTAAGATAGGAGGAGAACTCCGGGTTCCTTAGGTCTGGTCATCTTTCCACTGCACTAATGTGGGTCTTTTTCAGTAAAAGGCAAAAGATTTATACGATCTGAAGAGAGACCAGAGTGGGTCTTTTTCTATGGGAATGATATGCATCACATGCATCTATATACTTAGAACACTAAGGGCCAAACAAAATGACATGTGCTAGTAACATGGAAAACGCCACATGATCAGGTTTTACTGCCTTGCAACTCCTCTGCAGCAAAGTGAAAATTGACCTTGCAATTGGCTTACGCTGAAGTTGGCAGGGTGAATGGAACTGGTTGCAGCTGCTGACAAAGCGAATCAGTCAAATGAAACAGGAACAGGAGACACAGAGACCGAGTATAATAGCCCACAAGCACCTGCATCTCTGTGGGAATATCCAGGTTGCCTGCATCTAAGGAATTTGGATTCTGCTCTGTTACTGCATCAAGGAGCTTGAACACTCTAGGGTTCGTTGAAGCTGTGTATATTCCATGGATAGGTAGAAGCACAGGATTTGTTACACAGCACAGTATCCACCAACTGGAGAAACTCAGTGACTTAAAACTGGGCTGTACCTGGAGAAACTCAGAAGTCACTAGGGCAACTGAGCAGGTAGGTTGGAGTGTCATGTGGAGCTACTTTCCTCCCATGTCTAGCCAAAGAACAAATTACGCAAACAATAAAAATATGCAAGTTTGCATTCATGTTGGTTGCAAAATTACATTTCCCTTGGCAAATAACACGGAATTTATTCATTAATAGATAGCTCTGAAGGTCAAACTATACAAACAGAACTTTGGGTTATATCAAGCTAAGTCCTTCTCTGAGTGGATCTATTAAAATCAAAGGACTTCCCCATCTGTACTACACAATTAAAGCAGTATTGTGCTACTTTAAACAGTGCTTCCCCCAAAGAATCATGGGAGCTGCATTTTGTTATGGGTGCTGAGAGTTCTTCGTAGACCTCTTTTCCCGCCACAGTACTATAATTTGTAAAGCTTTCTGAGGAGGATTGATTTTTTAAAATTGATTTTTTAAAAATAAATAAATAAATACGTTTTTATTGGGAATGGTAGCTCTGTGATGTTTAAGTTAAGCCCACTGGGTCTACTCAGAGTAGGACAGAGAGGCAAATCTATATTATCTAGAATGGCCTGTGCTTTTGTTGCTTGGTATAAATAACCCATTTTCCAAACTCATTCAAGTTGCTGAGAAACGAGAAACTAAATGTTACTGCCACACGCACACATTTCCTTGCATGGCTGGCTGGTGGGCACCTAAAGGAAAACTCCAAAGGTGAGGATTACACACGTTTTCACTTAAATCGTTCTGTAACGTAAATGTAAACTTTACATTGGCAAACACGTTCATCTGATTTCTCTCCTTCCTGTTCCTCCTTGTTAGCACTCACACATGTTACAAATAGTGAGAGAGCTGCTGAATGCTGAAAGGCACTCAAGATGTAAATTGGAAACCACTGGAATTAGAAAACAAAAAAGTGTTTTGTTCCTGGGGTGGGCAGCCAATTCTGAGCTCACCCATGTCCACGTCATCCGCCTTGAGAATATATATATATATAGAGAGAGAGAGAGAGAGAGAAATCACTTATTTGCTTCCTCCATTTTGAGACCCAAGTTCTTCTCTGGCCGATTTACAAAAATCAATGAAATACAGAAACAGCGAAACATTCGCAATACAAATGACCAAAAAACACCCCTCAGAACCAAGCATAAAACACTACCAAAAACAAAAGAGATGAGCATAAAATGAAAATATATAGGGTTGTCTTCAACTAACTTGTAAACCCCTTGAAATTAATGACCATGACTAACTTTCCAAGGTATCTAATCTGAGTAAAAGTTACTTGAGTCCAACTCGTGCATGTGTGCGTGCGCGTATACTACATAGTAAGGCAGGATAAATGCAAATAAAGAAGAGAGGGAGACTAATCCCCAAATCTGTGCTGCTAGAGGGGGTTAGGATCCAGTGGCCAACCCCATCTGCTGGAGGTAGAGGGAATTCCATCATCATGGAGGCATTCACTGAAGCCAGGCAGTTGAGAAGCCATCACCGGCAATGTCCCCATTGTCAAAAGCCAGTGTAGGTTCCCAAAGGTGGCAATTGCAGGATGGAGGCAGACCACAGGCAGTTATGGATCTGCTGAATCCTAAGATGTTCCATTCCCTGGAGTGGAGTTCAATTTGGGTCCCTCAGCTGTATCAGTCCAGAGTTACAGCAACAGCAACGTCCCAAACCCTGCTGCTGACATGAGCAGTAGGTCCTGGGATACTGTGGGTCTGAGCCATAGCTCCCTAGCTGTGGTTTGGATTTCGCTGTCCATAAATCAACCAGAGCACCCAGATTAACTGGCACCTGGAGATCTGATTCTTTTTTCTGGACTCTATACTGGGTCTGCATTAGGACCCTAGCTTCTGGGCCTTAGCAATGGCATCATCACCAATGTCTATGGGTGTCAGTCCTTGCCTTGTCAGTGAATAATGCTCTCCCAGATGTATCTCCTCCACTTTGAATTACTTACTGGAAGTAGAGGATTGGTGGTGGGGTCCATTACCCACTGTGAAGTCCATCTGTACAGGATATGATTGTTGCATGCCAGGGCTTGAAGGCATCACCGTTGCCTAATATGGGCCAAGGTCAGATCTGATTTTCTTTTTTAAAAATAATAATTTTAGTGATATATCATAAACATACACAAACTAACTTAACCATACAATAACAAAACTATACACAAATCGTATTCAGTATATATAAAAAAACAAATTACAGAGATGCAGTTATATATAGCCAAGGTTTTAAGATGAGTGTATATAGCCCAACTGCAATGAGGGCTTTGGGAGAAGTACTTGTATGACTCTCCCTGTTTATATAATCAAAATATGGAGACCAGCCTGGGTCAAAACTATGCGGTTTGGCTTCACCCCGATTCCACGTCTGTGTTACCAGACCAGATCTGATTTTCAATAAATCTAAGGAGAGGTGGATATCTAAAATATAGGGTCTGATTGCGCATGTTTCAGTTTGATGCCATCTGCACGAAAGACAGTTTCAGAAGAAGATGCAAACCCTGCCAAAATCAGTACCTTAAAAAGAATTAATAAAACCGCCAGTGAGAAACAAAATGTAATAATCATTGCTCAACACTGTTACATCTCACTCTACGTTGGAAAATCTTCTCTCTCCCCCATCCCAACCACCTTCTGTTATTTTAAAATACAAGGGCATCTGTAACTAGGTAGTGACAGAAGCAGCTTAATCCCAGAATAACAAAGTTCCTACGTCTCATTTCTCAGATGCTTCAAAAGAAATGTGCTAGAGGCAACTCCCAGTTTATGTGGGGGTTAGGTTCCAAGGCACAGCATGTTTAAGTGAAAGCGTGCATATTTGAAACACTGTTGAAAAAGCCTGCAAACACCTCATTTCGCCTCTGCGCCAGCCCGTTCAGCCCCTTTTTGTGACATTTTTAGGTCACTTCCGGGCTCGGTGCAATACCTGCGTGTGCAGTTGCCCCCATATCAGGCACGTTTAAAACGGTTGCTGCCTGTACATAAAGGCAAATTATCATATTGGCAGCTAGGAACTGGGGCAAATAAGACAGACCTGCAATGCCACTGCAGCTATAGGAATAAATTAATAAAGGTGTATCAAATGCTTGCTCTTGTTCTCTGTTGGAGTTTGTAAGAAGAGGCATTCAAAAATATTTATGTGAATTGAACAAGCAAGTAGGAGATATATATATACATATATGAAACAACAGTTTCAAGCATCATTTTCACATTACAGCTTTATTATCTTGGCAGGTTTTTGAATTCATTTATGGAACATCATTACATCTGCTGTGTAGAGCACTCCAAGGAATTGTTACAGGTGTGCCCTACCTGTTGCTTACGATGTCTGGACTGGTATTGCTAAGAGAATAGATAGAAAAACATTCTTGGTTTGAAAGCATTTACCACCAGTTTAACTAAATGTGTCAGTCGAAACCAGGCAAATAATGTTCTTTAAAAATTCCCTGGGGCAAATATTGTTATATCATTAGCACATAGCATCATTTTACAATTGATTGAAATGGAAGCAGAACTTTATTTATTTTCTTCCACTCTGTGTAAAGTTGGGGGTGGGGGTGGGGACCAAAACTAAATTTTGCATCGATTTCCTAGAGTGCTATATCCCGACCAAGTGCCCCGGACAAAATCCCTATTTAGGTTTCTCCCTGTGCATCGAGAAACAGATGAAGAAAAGCCCCACCCCCTCCAGCTCATCATTCCTACACATTTTAGAGCCCTCCATGAATCTGAGGGTTCTCCACATGATTTAGAGCCCTTCACAATTAGGGTTTTGTATTGTGGAGGGAGCCTCTATAAGTAGTAACGGCTCCCTACTTCAGACCTTCACCCTCAAAATTTGGAGGGCTCTAAACAGTGTGACAATGATGTGTCACAGGGGACAGGACTTGGCAATATACCATACTTTCCCGTCTATAAGACGCCCCCATTTATAAGACGCCCCCCTATTTTTGGAGACTCAAATTTAAGAAAACAGGGGGAGATGGCACAGAGTTGTTGAAATTTTTTTGGGGGGGGATTACCCAGGGTTGTTGAGGGATTGCCAAAAATCACTCACTCGCACGCATCACAAAATCCGCCTCCCGCCTGTCCCATCACTGGCAGAAGTTGCCAATTGCCTGCCCAACTGCCAAAGCATCGGCCAATCAACACCACCCATTGACACAGCAACCAATAACATGCACAATAGCCACTGACAGCTGCAACAGCAACTAATCAAACGCCCACCACTTTTTATAATGATTTTTAAAGAAAAAACATAGTCTTATACATGGAAAAGTAGGGTACCTTTGCTTCTCCTTGTGTCTTTATACACAATGCAGTTGTATCCTTGAATAGGGCTAATGTGGGCTTGCCTGCATATATTATCCAATTTACATAACTCCGTTTGCCTTAGTTGGTTATGCTGACTATGTGTGGGTGGTAGCTGGTTGATGGAGGACCCTGGGTGGGAGGCAGGAAAAAGTTGGTCTCCCAGAGTGAGAGGCTGGGAGGAGAAATGGAAGGTCGCAGGTGAGAGCTGGGAAGGCCTACTACCATCTGTGGGCTGTAAGATTTCAGAAAGGACTCCATATTCATCTTATCCTTTTTGCATTTCTTTGTAGCTTTTAAAATTTAGTTTAGTTTTCTATATTGTATTGTATTATGAAAAACTTTAGTAAGAATCCTATATAACAGATTAATATATTCACAGATTAATGCAGAAACAAGCAGGGACAGATGAATGAGTGAACACATGCAAAAGTGACATGGACAAGAACTAGTGTGAGACAGTGGTGTGCGGTCAGTGGACTAGGCTAGTCCCCTGAATGTTCCCAGTAAAATAAAATAAAATAAAATAAAATTATCATTTATACCCCACCCATCTGGCTGGGTTTCCCCAGCCACTCTGGGCAGCTCCCAACAGAATATTAAAAATATGATAAAGCATCAAACATTAAAAACTTCCCTAAACAGGGCTGTCTTCAGATGTCTTCTAAAAGTCAGATAGTTGTTTATTTCCTTGACATCTGATAGGAGGGCATTCCACAGGGTGGGTGCCACTACCAAGAAGGCCCTCTGCCTTAGAGTATTAAAGTATTAAAGCCTGGCACCTCCTTCCCAAAGCCTGGGAAGCTTCTGCCTGGCTTAGGGAGGGGGGCAAAATGCTCATACATGTGACGTTGAGACATTGTGAGGTCTGGCTCGCGTTCCCCACCCCAATTGCCCTCGCAAGTCAGTGCCTCTGGCCCTAACTGTTCCTCTATGAAAAAAAATCACTGCATGCCACTGGTGTGATTCGTGCATCCCAGCACAGAGTGGGTGGAGAGATAAGATGCAATCTCTCTCCCACTCTCTAATGGACATACTGCAGTTTTCCATGTATAACACGCCCCTGTGTATAAGACGTCATCTATTTTGGGGAACTCCAAATTAGAAAAATGGGGGGAGATTGCCCAGAGTTGTGGAGCTTTGGGGGGGGGAGGATTGCCCAGAGTTCTTGAGCTTTTTTTTAGGGAGGGTTGCCGAAAATCTCTCACCCGCCGGTCACTTACGCACAATTTTCTAAGAAAAAAACACCTCGTCTTATACATGGAATAGTACAGTACATAGGTGATTGTAGAAAAGTTGTAGTCTCTTCTCCGTAGCACAACGGACCTGCAAGTTAACTTTTGTTCTTGCCTATTTAATCTTAACAAATATTTGCAATGCATTATTATTATTGCATTCTGCTATCTTAAATTTGGTTTCATTGGTCACTTGTTATTCTGCTGTTTAGAAGGTGGGCTGGTCTTCTTGCCTTTGACAGCCCAGACTGATAAGCTTACGTCTACCTTGTCCCTGCCCCTGGATTGTGAGGGAAATGAGGGAGAGGTCCTTCCTCGGTTATTTTCCCCACATGCACACATTTCAGGGAAATAGCTTGCCCTTAATTAACATTCCACTCATGTACCCAGTTCTTAAGTTGCGGAAATGGCTTTAGCAAGAGGAAGCCTATACTTAGGAGAGTTTTCCCTGGATGGCTCTTTCTAAAGCAGCACTACAGGAATGCAAACACACAAGAGGTTTTGAGAACAACAAGGTCATAGAAACAATAACTATCACAAATGACTGCTAATAATGTATATTTTTCCTCTTTAACTACCATCCACACTGCTGTCCCACTTCTGAATAATACAGCTGTGAAGGTAATTAATTAATGTAGGAATGGGGTTTAATAATAGCACAAGCTCTCTCATTGGTTGCTGGCACCAGCTACCATGCTGATAACAGGTCCCTGCCATTGTTGTCACCTCACTAGAAAATTAGCATTTAATTAACTTAGGGAGCTGTGGAATCATTTTGATGCAAGACTTATTTGTATCTTTCAAAATTCAACGCTCCTTTTTAAAGCAGGATAATCCAGATGTGCAGGCTAGTGGGCTGGAAAAAACCCCCAAAAACCCCACAGAGCAACAACTCTGGGAGCTGGCTGGGCAGCTGCAATGGTTACCCTGGGTTTAGGAGAAATCAGAATGATTAAAAACCCTGCTCACAGATTGCTTCTGATATGTGCACAATGGAATAAACAGATCTTCCGCTGGTATTTTATTCTCAGTTTTAAAAGTTTATTTCTGATCTATGTTACACCCTACCTCAAGAGCACCAGATGGGTAATGGTTTAATGCAGACATAAAAATGAGATGGTTTTCTGCCCTAAAGACTCACAATTGTGAAATACCTGAAGTCACTGGAGCACATCTTTGAATTTGAATGTCTATTGCCTGAATCTTTTGTAGAGTTAACTCTTCTACATGAAAGCTCTTTCTTGGTTGTGGTGCTCTTTCTTGATATATATATTTTTAAGGCAGGTGAATATCCTTAGGACATGCTATATAGGGCCTGGTGGAGCAGCCCATAAGTTTATCTCATTCAGCATTCTCTTTCTGACTGTAGCCACCTTAATGCCTTGGGGAAGCCCACAAGCAAGCAAAAGCTATTCCTCATTGTTTGCTCTCTCTGACTGGTGCATTGCCTTGGATGCCTAGTCTCAGGGTACAGGAAGCCACCTCCTTACTGAAACCTAAGAAAGTCTGGGTCTTGTCAATGCCTGGGAACCACATGCTGATACACTTCCAGATTCATTTCAAGGTTCTGATGTTTCTGTTGGCTTTCTTCTGTCTTGGGTGACAATGGAGGAGTGAAGTCAAACTGTTAGAAGGTCTCAGCATCTGCTGTGGCTGTAGAGCCTGACGCAGGAGAGGCATGTTTTGTTGCAGCTGGGGCAGATTGGTTGTGCTGCTGCAGATGTACCATGGCATTTCTTCTTTCTGCACTCCTCCTCTGGTCACTACTGTGGATGCCTGTATCCAGGCACTGTGGTCTGCAAGGGATTCCCAAATGGTGGGGTTGATGTTGCCAGCCTTCTGCATCTTTGTAGCGCAGAGTTGATTATTGTATAAGGTCCTAAATGGCTTGGGTCCCAATAGCTTGAAGGAGCAACTCTCCCTGTTATCTGCCCACTCAATCTTTAAGGTCTTCAGAGGAAGTCCTGCTTGTGGTTCTACCTAGGAATATTGGTGGCCTGGGACAGGACCTTCTTTCTTATGGAATTCCTTGCCTCTTGAGATGCAGCTGGCATCTTCAGTGCTGAACTTCCATTACCAGTTAATCATGTATCCATTCACCAAAACCTTTGGAATATTCTGAGATGGTGGACTGTGGCTTAGAATGTTTTTATTCCCTGCTATATTACAGTTTTTTGAGCTGAATTATGCTTTGGCTTTAAGATGATTGTTTCTTGATGCATTGGATTTGCATTTCATGTTTTGGGCCTATGTGTATTTCTATAACCAAGAAATAACAACATTGTCTGCCAGTTAGCTTACCGGGTGAAATTCAAGGTGTTGGACTGGTGTACAAAGCCCTATGCAGCTAAGAAACAGGATACCTACGCGATTGTCTTATCCCTTACATGCCTAACTGGTCGCTTCATTTTGCAGGAGAGGGAATCCTGCAAATACCATCCTAGCAAGAGATATTTTCTTCACCAGGTCAGAATCTGGCCTTTAGTGTGGAGCTGCCCATCATTTGGAACCCTCTCCCATTATATATAGAATCATAGAGTTGGAAGGGACCACAAATATCATCTAGTCCAACCCCTTGCAATGCAGGAATATTTTGCCCCATGTGGGGCTTGAACCCACAACCCTGAGATTAAGAGTCTCATGGTGTACCAACTGAGCTATGTTGGGCTATCAGACAGGCATTTCCTTTTTGGAGCCCATTGAAGATGTCCCTCTTTCAACAAGCCTCCTAAATGGAGACTTTTTATCTCAGTATTAGATTTAGTAGGAAGGCAGGATATGTAAGCAAATACAAAATAAATGCCTTTCAAGTTCCATCCTCTATGAATTTGGGGTGAGCGCCCTTTGCTCGGTCCCAGCTTCCCAGCTCCTGCCAACCTAGCAGTTCAAAAGCACATTAAAGTGCAAGTAGATAAATAGGTACCACTCCGGCGGGAAGGTAAACGGCGTTTCCGTGCGCTGCTCTGGTTCGCCAGAAGCGGTTTAGTTATGCTGGCCACATGACCTGGAAGCTGTACACCAGCTCCCTTGGCTAATAAAGCGAGATGAGCGCCACAACCCCAGCATAGCTGTCAACGTTTCCCTTTTTAAAAGGGAAATTCCCTTATTCTGAATAGGATTCTTTGCAAGAAAAGGGAAAAGTTGACAGCTATGAACCCCAGAGTCATCCGCGACTGGACCTAATGGTCAGGGGTCCCTTTACCTTTACCTTTAAGTCATGTAGCTGCTGCCACCACATCTTGTGCCAATGAATTCTGTAATTATATAGCATGTAAAGAAAGACTTCCTTTATCTGTCCTGAATCTTCTGCCTTGTGTGTTCTAAGTGACTTATTTGTACTCCCACAGGAAGCCTCTTTTCTGGCATCACCATGACTAGAGTGACTTGTTTTGTTCTTCTGCAGCCTGTGAAGCAGCCTGCCACTTGCTGCGGGGGAGGGGAGTGGCAACCAGATATTATACTCTCATCGAAAGGGATTGGTGGCTGTGTTGCAAAGGGCCAAGTCCCGGGAGGGTTGCTCATTCCTGCCATTACAGCAGGCTGACAGGTAGGGACTGACAGCACCCATCAATCACGCCTTTAACGGCCTGAACCTTTGCCATTACTTTTTCTGAGAGCAGCAGCCAAGCAGACAAGCTGTGTTGTGCTGTCAATGAGGTAAAAGTCCTTGGTGTCAGAACTTCTCCTGAGGGGGTTCTCCACTGTTGTGCATTTTGAGTTGAGAGCAGCTGCCCTCTGTCTCGTTTCTCTCTCTCTCTCTCTCTCTCTCTCTCTCTCTCTCTCTCGTATTGCTATTATTATTATTTTAACCTGACCATGAGGTGAATGATAACATGACTAGGGAATGGGACGGAATTATGATCAACCCAGATGTTTCTTCAATCTCTGTGTGTACACTGGATTTGCTTGACACCGTGATAGGTTTGTGGTATGACAGAAGCCTGAGTGGGACAATCCAATTAAATTGGCTGGCTCCTGATATCCTTTTCAATAGAAATGAGACATTAACATAGACGTAGACTCCTAGGGGCTGAGGCAGTTTCAGTCTCCCCATTGCATTTTTTGATGGGTGGGGCTGAGCATGCTATGGAATGTTGAATATCAGGTGGAAAAGAAAGACCTGAAATGGTAAGCAACCATTCTTGCACTCCTAGCCGATTATGGTTTTCCAGGGAAAGTCTTGAGAGCCTGATCTGTTATGGAGTGAAGATGTTGTGGAGTGCAGATCTCATGACAGAACTAATAACAGATATCAGCACCAATGATCTAACATATATATCGCAAAACTATTATGAATGGGAAAGCTTGTTTTAAAGGCATGGCAATAAAAAGAGGCTAGAAATGTGTTTTCAGTTTACTAGACATTTCCTCCTATTATGTCAGATAAACACTAGGTTCCTATGGACCAGATAAAATTTTGGGAAACAGAAGCCCTAAAAAAAGCATCCCCAACCTGCGGCCCTCCAGATGTTTTGACCTACAACTCCCATGATCCCTAGCTAACAGGACCAGTCGTCAGGGATGATGGGAACTGTAGTCCAAAACATCTGGTGGGCCAAAGGTTGGGGATGCCTGCCCTAAAGCAGCCATTATGATAGATATTAAAATACCTCTCACATATAACTTTAGGAACAAAACAGCAAGAAAAGTACCACAATACTATGTTGGAAATAAAGCATGTCAACAGAGCTCATTTAGTACCCCTCTTAATTTCAGCTACAGGAGTTGTTCCAAATCCCCTGAAGCAAAACTTAGAGAGCATACATTTGCCACCATGCCTATTAAATATAATGCTAAAAGCTGTCACTCTCCTCACTTCCACCATAACAAGGACCATTCCTAACAAAACTATTGACACTCGTTGGAATATGCGGATACGGAAACAAGCAAGGAAAACAAGAGTGATTGTTGTTATTACTTTATTTTTTATTTTTAGACTTCATACTCTGTCCCTCATCACAAGTGATGCCAGAACAGATCTCAACAATATAAAAACAAAATTACCAGAAAATACAATTAAAACATATCATTAAGACATCCATCTGTCATATCTGTTCTAAATATTCAAAAGCCTATCCAAAGGCTGGCAGAAAGGGAACTGTTTTTGGCTACTACCAGAAGATAGAGTTTTATGGGTAGGGGGCACCAATGAAGTGAGGTCACACCTCGCTCTAGAAGCGGAAAGCAATTTCCATTAAAACCACGGCTAAAGATTTTCCCCTCCTTGGAGGGCTTTCAGAGACCCACACTGCTGTTTGAAACTACTTTGAAAATTGGAGGTTCAAAGAGCAGCGCGGGGCTGTTTGAAAGCCCTTTTGAAAACAGCTCTTCTCAGTTCTATGAACCCCTGAAAACCAGAGATTCAAAGAGCAGTGTGGAGTTGCTTGAAAGCCCTTTTGCAAACAATCAAACATATGATGTCAGGTGACTGACCACTGTGTGCTTCCACCCACTTGGCTTGCTGGGATAAAGAAGATAAAGATCTGGTGCATCAGCCAGAAAAGGTTCCCCACCATTGCTTTACAACAACCCTGTAAGGCATCACCCACATCTTTGGTTATTTTTTCCATTAATTTAGTGTCCCCTCTTCTAACTGAATATGAATATGCTGTATATGAACCTGAAGGCAGGTTTTCAATTCTCAGACATTTATGAAACTCCCTTCCCCCTTAAAAATCCAAAATATTGGTGGGAAACTATTTATAAACTATGGGTTGTATTCCACTATGTCCTGCTCAGAAAGACTCTACTTAATTAAACCAAGTAAGTCATGTTTATTAACTTCAGTGGGTCTACTTGGAGTAGGACTATCATTGAGTACCACCCTTTTATCACAAATTGCTTTTATAAATATTATGAAAGTCTAAAGAAGACTATGACAAATAAGGGGCCATAGCCTATGATTTCACCCCCAAAAAACCATTGATTCTAAAAGTGTTCTATGGTACCTAGACCTACATTTATTCAAAACAGAATAGAATAAACATTTTATACTGCCCTTGAATTCATTTTCTTTTAAATGGAGGTTTACAATAGCATGCCCATGACAAATACAAATGGAGGTAGATTGAGCATTTTACATAATACTTTGTAACATACACATAATTGTGCAACGCTAACAGAAATGTTCAAAGAACTTCTTTCCAGAGAAGGATGCAAAATGTACTGGCATAAAGAATAGCTGTGTGCAGATTGCCAAATGGCGTTTGCTGGGAAAGTACCATTTAAAAGAATGATGTAATGTATAATTTCGAATTAGAAAATCGAAGGGAAGGTCCAGTGCTCCCAGCTAAACTGCTGGAAGTTAATAAGGTGTTAATTGAAGCACCAGCTGACTATAGCACCTCAGTGCTTGGTTGACAACTGAATTTTAAAAGTGAGAGAATGGAAATAAATAGTGTTTACACAGTATATGCTGAAAGAATAAAATAGCTGAACTGTTTTAGTCGGGAAATAATTGCGGGCTGCAATCCCGTGCAACATTAGGTTATTTAAATCCCAGTGAAGTCGAGGGCTACACAAGTGTGGAATCTGGCATGTGCATGTATGTACATATAGCTGAATGGGAAATTGTGCAAATAAGTGATTTTTAGGTTTAAAGAGAAATGCCACGTGCAGGTAACCCCATGGAATCCAGGGGAAATCAAAGCTGGCATTCAGGATCAGCATCCTTGCCCAGGCCATAGTCGGGAGTCTTCTGTCAATTCCTGAAGCAGGATCAGCCCAAGAAATTTTGCTGCTTGAGTGTCAGGCTTCAGGAAATCATCTTCCTCTCTCCATGGCAGGAGATAAGCAGAGCAAAGGAAAAGGAGTCTTCTTACCAGTTAGAAACTTTCATAATCACAGCGAGAGAACAAAGAACATACCTCCTAGAAATGGCAGTGCTCCCAATTAAGAATCCCACCCCCTTACATCCCTGTTAATCCACGTCACTGCTACGTCTTGTAATCTGAGCCTGTCCCCTCTGTGCTTTGTGTGCTTTCTGTTCTGCCACTTTCTCAGCTCTTATTGACTTTGGGGAGAGTGGATGGATGCTTTCCAGAGACAGTAAATCTGTTAATCCTCTCTCTCCCAGTGTTCTCCTAGCTGCTCCCCATCCAGTATTTCCCACCTTCTGAACAATGCCCCTCTGCAAACCACTGTTCCAAATCTATACTGTCCTCCTGCTCCTGGGAAGATTCAGGATCCGGATCTGGAGCGGGGGGGGGGGGGGAGGCTCCCACCATTCCTCCTCAGCGCAGCCCTCTTCAGCATGGTCCCTGACAAACAAAAAAACAAAACAAGGTGGCAACCCCCCATCCCTTTCCATGTACTGGACTAGCGGCTGAATCTTGCTTTAATTCTGCCAATGGGACAGCATCCTCCATTGCGGTTATTAATATTGCGCAGCTTGAAGCCATAGGATGAATAAAAACTGACTCTTCTTGGGGGGGAAATTATCCAGACCAAAAATATGGTTCCAAAGCTTTACTAACAAAACTTGTTCCAAAACAGTTTGTGTATTGTTTGGGAAAGTGCAGATCATGTAAGTTTGCAGGACAATGCAAATTGAACCAAATTCCTGCTCCATCCCATGTCCTATCTGAGAAAGGGTCTTATGAAATGCACATGACTGTATACTATTACTGCCACTCCAACACCAATAAAATACATACAGTGGTACCTCGG